GATACCCAGCAGAGGGATGGCTGGGTCGAATGGAACCTCTAGTCCCAGCTCTTTGAGGTATCTCCATATTGATTTCCATAGTGGTTGCACCAGTCTGCACTCCCACTAACAATGGAGAAGGGTTCCTTTCTCCCCACAATCCAGCCAACATTTGTTATTGAGTGATTTCTTGATAGCAGCCATTCTTTGTGGGGTGAGGTGGAATCTCTGTTGTTTTCATCTGCATCTCTAGAATGACCAGTGATGTGGAGCATTTTTTCATATACTTACTTGCTGCTTTTAGTTCTTTGTCTGAGAAATGTCTGTTCATTTCAGATGCCCATTTTTGAATTGGGTCCTTATTTGGGGGGGGCTGATAGTTTTAAGTTCTTTATATATTCTAGATAATAGTCCTTTGTCTGAGGAGCAGCTGGTAAAAGTTTTTTCCCACATTGGAGGTAGTCTCTTATTTCTGTTGAATAACCATCAATGTTAATGGTCTCAAATCACTAATTAAAAGAAATAGAGTGGCAGAATGGATCAAGAAGCAATATCCAACAAAATGTTGCATATAAGAAACAAATAATTCAAAAAGAAATTCACAGACTGAAAGTTAAAGGGTGGAAAATGGTATTCCATGCAACAGGAACCCCTAAAAAGCAGGGCTGGCTATCCTATTTGCAGATGAAGTGGATATCAAACCAATTAATTAATTAAGAGAGACAAAGAAAGTCCCTACATCCTTGTAAAGGGAACAATCCCAGAGAAAGAGACAACAATCATAAATATATATGCACCAAACAGTAGTGCATCAAAATATATAAAACAAATATGAATGGACATGAAAAATCAAACAACCACTAATACAATAGTAGTGAGGGACCTCAATACCCTACTATCACAAATAGAACAATTAGACAAAAAAACACCATCAAAATACTAGAACTCAAGTGAACTCTTGAACAAATAAATGGATTTAATAGAGGTTTAATAGTATTTCACCCCACAAAATTAGAATACACATACTTCCCAGCTGCACATGGGTCATTCACCAAAAGTGACCACATACTAGCTCGTAGAACACGTTTAAGTAAGTGCAAAGGAATTAAAGTTATCCCCTGAATATTATTCAGTCATAAAGCAATGAAATTGGAGATCAACAGCAAAAGGAAGCACAAGAACTTCATAAACACATGGAAATTGAATAACACCCTACTGAACAACCAATGGGTCACAGGAGAAATTAAAGAAGAAATTAGACAGTTTCTACAATTAGGTGAAACTGCAAATACAACATACCAGAATTTATGGGACACAATGAAAGCAGTCTTACAAGGAAAATTCAGAGGAATCAATATCCATATTAAGAAAATAGTGAGCTCAAGTAAACAATTGATGCTGAACCTCAAACTTCTAGATAAAGACGAGCAGGACAAACTCAAAGCTCATACAAGGGCAGAAATTATAATGATAAGAGCAGAAATCAATACAATAAAGATTAAGTGAATGATATAAAAATAATTGAAGCAAAGATTTGGTTCTTTGAAGGAATTAACAAAATTGACAAACCCTTAGCCAACCTTATCAAAAAAGGAAAGAAATAGCCCATATCCATACAATTAGAAATGAAAAGGGTGAAATCACAAACACCCAGCAAAAAACAGAGGATGATCAATACCTACTTTGAGAACCTGTACTTCAATAAGATGGAAAGCACAAAGAAATAGAAAGATTTCTAGATACATATGTGTTAGCAAAGTCGAATGGAGAAAATCTAAAAATTCTAAACAACCCAATATCAATCAATGAAATTGATAATGTAATTAAAAATTTACCCACAAAAAGAGCCCAGTCTTGATGGCTTCACTGCTCAATTCTACAAGATATTTAGAGAAGAGCTATTGCCATTACTGTTTAAACTCTTCAGTGAAATTGAAAGGGGAACAAAACTTCCAAACTTATTACTGGAAGCAAGCATTACCTTGATCTCAAAAGTAGAGAGAGACCCAGCTGCAAAAGAGAACTATAGGCCAATCTCACTAATAAACATAAATACAAAAATCCTCAATAAGATACTGTCAAACAAAATGCAGAAGATCACCAAGAATATGAGATACACTGACCAAGTATGATTCATCCCAGGGATGCAGGATTCAACATATGTAAAACAATAAATGTAATGCACTATATTAACAGAGCCAAGGAAAAAAAACCATATGATCATCTCAATAGATGCAGAAAAAACATTCAACAAAATCCAACATTCATTCACAATAAAAACCCTACAGAAAATTGGAATAAATGGTCTTTATCTCAACTTGATAAAAGCCATCTATGAAAAACTAACAGCCAACATCATACTAAATGGTCAAAAGCTAAAATCTTTCACAGTACAATCAAGAACAAGGCAAGGATGTCCACTATCACCATTCCTGTTCAATATAGTTCTGGAAACATTAGCCACAGCAATTAGACAAGAAAAAGAAATCAAAAGAATGAAGATAGGAAATGAAGCAGTTAAATTGTCATTATATGCAGATGATATGATACTCTATATAGAAGACCCCCAAGAGCTCCATCGAAAGTCTTCTACATGTAACAACCAAATTCAGTAGAGTAGCTGGATACAAGGTCAACACACAAAAATCAGTAGCCTTCCTTTACATAACCAAAACACCCACTGAGAGAGGAAATGGAGAAACAACTCTTTTCATAATAGCATCCAAAAAATTGACATACCTAGAAATCAATCTAATGAAGGAAGTAATAGATCTCTACTCTGAAAACGACAGTACTCTGAAAAAAGAGATCAAAAAGGATATCAGAAAATGGAAAGATATCTTTTGTTCTTTGGTAGGAAGAACCAATATAGTGAAAATGGCCATACTTCTGAAACGGCTATATAGATTTAATGCAGCCTCAATTAAAATTCCAATAGCATATTTCACAGAACTATAGAAAACAACCCAAACATTCATTTGGAACCAGAAGAGAACTAGAATAGCAAAGCAATTCTAGCCAATAAAGACAAGGCAGAGGGTATCACAATCCCCAACTTGAAACTAGACTACAAAGCTTCTATTACAAAAGCAGCATGGTACTGTCAAAGAAACAGACTTGAGGATCAATGGAACAGATTAGAAGATGCAGAAACAACTCTAGACATACTCGTCCATCTTTGAAAAAGGAGCCAAACACTCTCACTACAGGAAAGATAGCCTCTTTAATAAAGGGCTCTGGAAGAATTGGGTTCAACATGCCAAAGACTAAAACTAGACTCATATTTCTCACCATGCATTAAACTAAAATCTAAATAGATTAAATATATCAATATAAAAACATAAACACTAAACCTGCTGGAAGACAGGGAAGGTAGAACTCTTGGTAACATTCATATGGGAAAATACTTTATGAACAAAATCTCATTTGCACAGAAACTATCACAAAGAATCAAGAACTTGAATCTCATGTGATTAAAAAGCTTCTGCACAGTAAGAGAAACCACCAACAGAGCAGACAGACAACCCACAATATGGGAAAAAATTTTTACCAGCTGTGCCTCAGACAGAAGTCTATTATCTAGAATATATAAAGAACTTAAAATATCAGACCTCACAAATTTAAAAATCCAATCCAAAAGTGGGAATTTGAAATGAACAGACATTTATCTGACAAAGAAGTATAAACTGCAAATAAACATTTCATAAAATGTCAACATCAGTGATTATTCGAGGGATGCAAATGAAAACAATACTGAGATTCCACCTCACTCCAGAAAGAATGGCTGCTGTCAAGAAATCAGCCAATAACAAATGCTGGCAGGGCTGTGGGGAGAAATGAACTGTTTTCCACTGCTGATGGGATCACTGTGGACTGGTGAAATCACTGTGGAAATCAGTCTGGATGTTCCTCAGAGAAGTAGGATTAGAAGTCCCATTTGATGCAGTTATTCCCTCTCTGGATATCTTCCCAAAAGAATTAAAAGAGCAATACATGCTCACCCATGTTTATAGTGGCACAGTTTGTAATGCCTACATCTTGAAAACAGCCCAATTGCCTATCAAGTGGTGACTGGATAAACAAGATATGTTTTAAAAAAAAAATAAAATAAAATGGAGTATTACCCAGCCACAAAGAATGATAAACTAGAGACATTCATAGCTAAACGGATGGCCCTTGAGGCCGTACTCTAAAGTGAGATAAATGGGACACACATGTGTGAGTACCAAAGAGATTCTCTGGTGTGAGAAACTAAAAGTGTATATGAGAACCAAAATGTATAATAGATAATGTAAAATAGAAAGAAAAGGACCAATGGGGGAGGGGAAGTGAATGGGGGGTGAGGGGAGGGAAAGGAAAAAATACAAGAAAGAAGGAAAAAATGGAAACAAATCTTTTTGTAAATAGGGAGGGGAGGAGGGGGCAAAGGGAGAGAAAGGCAATGGGGTAAAAACAAGAGCCAAGATGTATTGTGTACAGATACAAATTCCCAATGTTGAATGTGATCATAATGTACACCCAAAATGTACCAATAAGCTTAATGGAAAAAGGAAGAAGAAAATTTTGTTAGATCTTATCTCCCTTGCACGTCCCCAGTTACTTTTTGCTGAGTAGATCAGCTTATATTCCTAGCATGTGAAGAAGGGGAGAGCTGACTGAAGACGAACTGCCAGCAAAAGCTTTTTCGACCCTGTAATTCTTTATACTCATACTGCATATTTCTCATAGAAATACATCATAATGAGGGGTTGTAATGTACATATTTTTATGTAAGACCCTGTACCTGTGGCTGCAGCTGGACTATCAAAGATTCAAAGAGCAATGATGAATCACAATGAGAAGAGAAAAAAAAACAGAGAAATTAAGAGCTATGACTTAAGCTTCCCTGGGGTTAAGATGAAGCATGAACTTTTGCTCCTTGAAAGGATGCACATGATCTTAGAGTCAAAGATAAGGAGACAGGAAACAAATACCCTATCTACCCCCTTACCACAAGTTATTATTATTTTTGCATTTTTGTGCTCAAGGGCTATGTATCTCTGAACAGCCATGAAAAGGCTTCCTGGAAAACAAAAAACAAACAGAAAGAATATGTGTCCTGGCTCACATGGTTCTAGTCTACCAGGGAGAGGAGGATCAGACACTGGCAGACACTGAAATTATACGAGTAGACAGACACTGCATTTCACAGAATCATTGAACCCTGAGCTCACTCGCCATCTGAGGGAAGACATGCAGGATGAGGATGGATACATCACCCTGAATATCAAACATAAAAGCCCAGCTCCTTCCTCAGGTAAGAATGCCCTACACCAGAAATTTAGAAATTAATTAGTGTAATGGGCCAATCCTGTTTTATTTTTCTCTAATAGTGATAACGTTTAATGTTATTTATTTATTTGACTAAATGATGATCTTTCTGTGAAGCATTTGCATAGCATCTATGTAGGCTCAGAAGGATATGTTTAGAATATAAACAGCAAAGATACAAGCAGAGGACTTTACTAGGACTTCTAGAATTTAATGATGAAGATAACAGAGGCCAAGAAAAGAAGGGAAGGGAATGTTTGAAAATTTCATTTTGTAAATGTCAGTAAATGGGTATAGTTGTTGCTTACAAAAGCAATTATTTATGTGGGTGGACGAACACACAAAAAGACAAACACATGAGACCTTAACATATAAATCCTGTACTTTGGCTTAGAAAGAGAGTGGGAGTGGAGACAGGAAGAGGTGTAGGAGTGGGTTATGCTTTTTGTTGATCAGAAAGAGAGCGCAGGTAAGAGCTGCCAGTAATGTTATTTAGGATAGTTGCGAGGTCCGGAGAAGACAGGGCAGGGATGGCACAGATGTCTGCTCCTTAACTCTCTATTGTACGCCTACAGTTGACCCTGCCTCTTCTTCTTGGTGGCGTGTGATGGCTTTAATTCTGCTCATCTTGTCCACGGGGATGGTTGTTGCACTGGTGGCCCTGGGGATTATGTGTAAGTATTGATTTTTTGCCAAATATTTGATCAAGGAAGGTGCTACCTAAGGGTCGAGGTGTATCCTGGTAACCTTCTTAGTTTTTACTCTTTCTCTATTTGCCAGTGTTGGAATCATCCTAGCCATAGCTATCAATGTAGTCTTAATAAAGGACAACTCTAAACTTTCTCTCTCATTAAAATCACTTTAAATATTTTCATTAATTACAATTATTTTCCAAATTTAAAGCTGGCCTTTAAGATTGCCTTCAGCACAGATCTAAACTATATTTTGAACATTTATCACTTACATTCTGTCTTGCTCACTTTGAGACTCAGCCAACCAATATTTTCTCAATTTCATGAGTAAATCTTCCATCTCTGTGTTTGAATTTTGCTGGATCTATATATTCCCTTTACTTAAAATATCCTCCTTCCCATTTTGTTTATTGAAATAGTTTTTCACTTCCTGTAACTCCTAGTGCCTTACAATGTCGCATTGTAGTTTGTTGTATGTTTAGTTTTATAGGTTAGTTTAGAAGTTTTGATTCATCCTGCTTTATTTATGGAGCTGTCACAGTATTTTAAACATAATAAAAATTTATTATGTTTTCTTAAATGAATTAATAGTTTGGCATTACACGAAGAACATAAAATAACCGAGGTCACTCCCTTGCCTCTAAAAAGTCTGCTTACAAACATGTACTTAAGGAAATGTTAAAACAACTGGTTCAAGCATGTTATTTGCTCTTGAGAGTTTCATATTTCTGATCGCCTCCTTTCAATAACCTACTTGTTCTTTTGGATATCACTAAAGTGTCTTGCACATTTCTTTTTTTTTTCTGCGGTCCTCTTTCCCCTCATCCATTTCTGGTTCATTTACTGCTGTGTCTCTAGTAAACTCCTTCCAGATTGGTCAGCCTGTTGAAGTGAAAATTCATTGAAAACTCTTAGAATCACCTTTATAATCAGTATTATAACGTGTAATTTATCTAATTTCTACATCTAGCTGTCACACAGCAAAACAACTTTCAAGCTGAGAAGGAAAATCTCTCAGGAACTGTGCAAAACTTAGCGAAGAATTTCTGCCAACATATAATACAACAACTAGAAGAAAACCAAAAGCGCAGTGCAGGTAGGTGCGGTTTGGTAACCTCCCCATCGCCCCAACTCCAGGAGTAATTTCTGTGATGGACAGTGAAGAGAATCCTGAGATTGTCAGGAAACCTGGGGGAGGGTTAGAAAAGTGAGCCAGCTTCAGCAGGAAGAGGTCCCCATACTTGGTTTCTTCTTCAGATCACAAATGCAGCCCCTGTGAGACAAACTGGAGATACCACGGAGATAGTTGCTATGGATTCTTCAGGCACAATTTGACCTGGGAAGAGAGTAAGAGCTATTGCTCCAACCGGAATGCGACTCTGGTGAAGACTGCCAGCAAGGGCACTCTGGTGAGGAGAGGCTGCCGTCAGATATTCTGGAGGAATACAGACAAAAAAATCTTAAATGTAACATTTGATGTTTTTTCCATTTTGTCCTTCCATCTTCTAGTCTGTGCTAATCTAAGAAACTCACAACCTCAGAAAAAAATCAAAGAACTCAAATACTAATCCAGGTTATTCCACAGAATTGCCACAGTTAATCAATGAAATTGGCTTGTACCTTCCTGGGAGCTGACAGGGACGTATGCCATGCCACTCCACATTCCCTGGGATCCTGGCCGGCTGCGTACACCTCCCAGACTCATGGAGGAGTCACTTAGATGAAGGAGCTGTTCTCCCCACTGAGGCAGCATGGGAGAAGGCCCTAGAATCTCAACTCCATGACAAAGATCCACGGGGAATATGAAAGCATATCCTGAATTTTATTACTCTAGCCTCATGGCGAGTTGAAGATTTATAATTAAGAGAGAGAAGAATTATATATATATATATATTATAAAGAATTGTGAAATTTCAGGTGGAATTTACCTGTCATATCCTATAGCAAATTATATAATATGGACATATTTTAAAGGAAAACTCAAGGTTTAACAGCAAGGTGAGCAATACTTCAGACCTTAAGAAGCAAGCAGCCAAATGTGACTTTCACATATTATCTCCTGTGTATTGTCATTCTGAGCTTCTTATGTCTTTCAAGGAGTCATTTTTTTATTGTCTAAGAAAGGATTCCATGAGACATTAAGCTTCGTTTTAATTTAGTCACCAATCGGTTAACTGATTGCCTATTTGTCTGTTAATTTAACAATTATATGGTACCTATTCCAGGACATAGGCATATATATTTGGTAAAACAATAATCCCTAATCCCCAAAGGCATATATTTTAGTTGGAGAAACAGAAAATGAACAAAACAAATACATTTAGAATATTGTACCATAGTAATAATGTCTAACTATAAAAAAATGAGTCCAGAAAGGTATTTGTACTCTAAAACAACTCAAATTGATACAGTTCTAAATGTCAAGTATAATCCATTAATATCTACATAGAATATAATCTAATATTTGTGCAGTATCTTATTTAGGTCTTTGCCTTTGTCATTACCAAAAGCTGTGAAGGCATTTTGACCATGAAATGTGTTTGTGTTTGCAACAGGATTATATTAAAGACAGGACTGTTCTCATTCGCTGGGTTGGATTATCCCGCCAGAATGCTGAGAAGGTCTGGATGTGGGACGATGGTTCAGTTCTCTCCAAAAACATGTGAGTCACCCGACACTCAGAATAGAAGGCAGCACTAGAGGTCTGAGGCCCTCCTTTCTCGAGTACAAGTCACTTGAAAGGTGGCACATTTGTCTCTCTTCTACTATGGGTTTTGTAAACAACAGCAAAGTAATTTACAGCTTACTCCAAACCAGAGGACACTGATAAGATGTTTCTGTTTCTTTCTCCTTCATTCTCTTTACCTCGTCTATGATTTATTCTCTTTTCTTCATTCATTTCTATGTTCGGCTTTACCTTTAGAACATTTTGTGTCCCTGCTTATGTGTGCATGTGTGTACATGTTTATTCTCAACTTGATCTGACTCTTCTCTCATATTTTTAGAACAAGATTGTCACCCTCATTATTATATAGTTGAAAGTTAGCATCTTAAGAGTTCTTTGCACTTTTCCTATGCTTTATTCTTTGTCCAAGAATCCAGTACTTTGCAGGTCACGCGGCATTTCTAGTATTTATGGATTGAGACTCCCTTCTTTTGCAGACAGTGCAAGTTAATGGCCCCAGTGGATTAGCAGTCAAGTCTTGAAAATGCTTTACAATCTCTAAGCTCAACATCTGTTGCTCCCCTCATCAAAATTGCAGCCTCTCATTAAAATTTAAACTCATACCTAAGCTTGTACAATCTTAGCATTATGTAAATTATTAGTTGTAGTCAACAAATATTTATTACTTACTTTAGGTTGGAGCCCAGGATACGGTCAGTATAAGCAAGCCCCTCGCCAGACTTGGACTTTATGTTCTATCATTCCTGCCTCTTGCTGAACATGGCATGTAAAGTGGTGGTGTTCCCTCTCTCTTCCTTCACCAAATCAAACCTTTTTCTTTTGTTCAGGCTCTTGTACTTGCTGTTCTCCTCCTCTGTGCTCTGCTTCCACAACTCCAGGACTGATTTCCCCTGTGAGCTAAGTCTCTGTGTAAACATTGCTTCTTCAACTCTAATTACCCAAACTCAGTTACCTTCCCTTCAACCCACCTCTTTATTGGCTGGCCTATCATCCAACACTGTTTCATCTCTACATAATTCTTATCACTCTGAGTTCTTCTTGCCTATTTATTGACTGGCTACTTACTAATGCACCCCCATTGTATCATTAAATTCCCCAACATTCAGTTCCTCTCCCCTCCCCACATCTTCCTTTTTCTTTATCCATCCCCCCTTGATTTATTGCTGTACTGGGAATTGAAAGCAGGGCCTTTGCACAAATTATTTTGTTAATTTCATTTATTTTGAGGCAGAGTCTTGCTCAGTCACTAAGTTCCCCAGGCAGAGCTCAAACTTGCAATCCTCGTATCTCAGCCTTCCAGAATGGGACTTTGTCTTTCTTTACTGCCCTATTATCAGCACATTGAACAATTCTGGAGTGTAGTTGGTATTCCTTAAATATCTGGCAAATAAACCAAAGTACAGTCTCATCAAAGGGAGTCTAGTAAGTGACACAGACAAGTGAAAGAGCAATTGCATTGCAGCCACTGTTTTAGATCAACCACCCAATAGTGTGAATTCTCAGTTTAAAAGTATTTAATGAGCTGTGTTTTCCCTGAGCTGATGCCTATATTGTGCAACTGCTTTCCTCCAAGAATCCCTCCTCTTCTATCTGAACCCCACTCTTCCTTCATGTGCGAGCGGCAGCCTGACCTTGTAGACAGCCTTTGTCATCGTGCCACAGCTGTGTGCATCTCTTCCTCTGGACTTTCAGTGTACCTCGCCTTCCCTTGCTACTTGATTTGTGTTATGGAACTTGATTAAATTATAACAGGGCTTTTCAAGTGTGCCTACTTTATACCTCTTCACTCACAGTTCCACTGTCGTTTATTCCTTTTTCAAAGGAAGGTACTCTACCTTTTTTATTCACAGGCTTGAGGTTTTAGAAGATGGAGGAGAAAATATGGATTGTGCTTACTTTCATAAAGGGGAAATCCACCCTACCTTCTGTAAGAACAGACATTATCTAATGTGTGAGAGGAAAGCTGGCATGACGAAAGTGGACCAACTACTTTAATGAGGAAAAGATGGACATACGACAAGTGTTTGTTTAATAAAACCTGGATGAAGGAATCCTAAGCCACATAATTCCCTTGGAGTCATTTTTTATGTTGTCTTTGCTTCCATTACCACTTACTTGGCCCCTTCTTTGCACACTTAGAAGGCAATGTATGAGTTGTTTGCTTTTCAATTGTTCTATTTTCCATTTTCTTCCTTCTTGCCTTTCATTCCTAATTACCATATTTGAACATATTATAATTTCTTGTATCTCCAGATATATGCATATAAAATTAAACTTAGCACAACAAAAGATCAGGCTGAAGTGATTTAAGCTGTACAGAATATCCAAGTTAGAAAGAGATCATAAAGTAGAAATGATACTAAATTTGGAATATGAAGAATGATTGAAATAGTATGGTTGAATTAACTGGCACAACTGGGTACCAGTCATGTAGCCTCTGTAACTTCCATTCTTTCTATTTAAAATGGGACTTAACTATATCAGAAACTCCATGCAGACCGACACCATGACTTCTCTATTCTCCATTCTAGTATTAGCACCAAGCACAGTTTCTGATCCTCAGGGGGCAAAAAGTGCTATTAATTGTGTGAGACAGTTCATTACATGTATCTTAAATCAGTAAAACACAAGTGGAGTTACTATTCCACATCCAGCTCTGATCTGACTCAACAGGAGGAATTTTCTGTGTAAAAGAAGGAAAATAAAGTTTGCAAGAAACTTCATGGAGTTTGTGAAATGAATAAATGCTTCTTAACAAGAAGCCAGGAGGCAGAAGAACAAGTAAATGTTTTATCTAGCTCTTTTCCTTGCACTTCTATGTTTGGCTTTTGCTGAATAACCGAGGAAATATTTATGAAATACATGGAGAGTCAGCTGTCACAGGATAACAGGATAAATGCATCTCCTCCCACTCCCTGCCCTGCAGTTTCCCTTCTTTAACTGGTGGGGGCACAGGTGATGACTCTGACTCTCAATCATTTCAACTGAGGTGTTTTCTAAACTTGATGATTTACAAACTCAAATATTAATGGTCTAGTCAGAAAGATGAGACATGGAGACCCATGTTTTTAACAAACATCTATCTGCTTCTTACAAAAGTAGACTTTCATATATTTCAAGAAACATTACTTTAGAACTTACTCCCTGTGTGGTTTTGGGGCCACTAATTAGGCTGCTTTAATGCACAAGTTTCCTTATCTCTAAAATGGTATTAAAAATAAATAAAGTGGTATTAATATTATTACTTTACTGGAAGGATAACTGTGATGGTATATTATAATACTACAAAGTAGTGATCAGAATATCAAGCTTAGAGTAAGTACTTGGTAAATATATGTTACTTTTCTGCACTAACACTGAGCATAGTTGAACTTTACCATCTTTAAACTTTCAATAAACATGAAGTTTGAACAATAAACAAAAGTTTGGGAAGCTGAAGATTTAAAAACTTTCTCTCTCTGTCTCTCTCTCTCTTTTTCTTTCTTTGCTGGGTATTGAACCCAGGGAATTGCACATATTACCTTTAATTTTTTATTTAGATAAGCTAAGTATGAGGAACTCAGAATTCAGAAAACTGCCCCAGATCAACCACATCTCTGTTTCTTCTCTCCAGAACAGAAAATGATATATTTATATAGCACTATGGCCCCAACAAATTTAGAAGAATAATATAACAGTTCATGGATGAAACACAAATAAAATATATAAACCAATTAAACTTTGTTTACAAAAATTCTTTTTTTTCTGTTACTTCTATCTAAAACATATATAGAATCAGAATAATGCAGATGTTAATAGCAAAAAAGACTGTGATCAGATGACTTAGTTTCAAATATTAAATGTGAAACCTAGTAAATGAACTTCAGCAAAATTTGAGTTCTCTATGCCTTGATTTGAATTGTTACATTATGTTACTAGTAGTACCCGTTTCAAAGAGCTGTTGTGAAAACCAAAATAACTTGTGTGAAAACTCCTTGAAATAGTAATCATGATACAATGAATAATACATACCAGGTAGTGTGATTTAAAAGATCAAAAGTATTGTGCGGAATATGTTAGACCTTCACTGAGAAAAACCAATTCCCCTACAAAAGACAATCAATCAGTGAATAAACTGTACTTGGGAGACTCAGATCTCTCTGAGCCTTACTTTTAGTGTTACAACTAACAATGAATAGTGGCTAATTGAACTTTTGTTCCCGACATTAGTCTCATTACACAGTTGTCATTATGGTTTCTTCTTCTTCTTTTTCTCCTCAACATAAACTTCGCTCCTTTTAAAAGCTACACAGAGATCTTATTTTTAACATGACATTCTCAGGGCACAGGAATACGAAATCTTTGGGGAATGTGCTGGACACTTTTCATTTTCTCCTGTAGCCCTTCTCATAGGTGGCTGAACTCAACTGAGCACATTATCCGAGCAAACCTGGCTTTTGGCTTCCAGCAAACCCAAGCATTGGCAGACACTGGCAATAAGCAGAAGTAGGGTATTTCTCTCCCTGTCGTGCTTGGCAAAGGCTGAATATTCTACATCTTCGCCTGTGGGCTCAGTTCACGAAGTTCTAATAAATACACTCCACTTAGTCCTTTAATCCCGAGGCAGGTAACAGTTTCTCAGCACACATTTCACTTTGTTTCTTTCGATCTTCTCCAAAGCTCTAGAAGCAGTCCTTTTGGTAAATTCCTTTGATCTCCCCTTGAGTGTATTTTTGTTGGCTTCTGAAAAATCTGACTGTTATTGGACATAATTATTGATCCACTGAGACACTGAAACAAAGAGAACTTTGCAATTTTGCAGGTCATAGGGACTCGCAGGCAATACATTGCTGCGACATTACTTTTAGTGATAAGGAAAAAACAGCCCAAAGATGATGATGGTCACAGGATCAAATTTCTCAGTACCAGGGCTGTAGTCACAAGGTGTGACAGAAATGGTCACGTGACCACTAAATAATTCATGCCTCCCTTCTAGAGTGAGGTTATATCGCAAACTTGCTGCCCAAGCAAAAACTACATTTTTCAAGTTCAACCTTCATACCCATATGTGAACACACCATTGGTAGGTGTGGTTGTGATACATTTTACTTCTAGATTTTAGCTTTCACTTGGCAAGTATGCATTATGTACATGTACCCACTCCCCATGAGGAATATAATCATTATTGTACCGCAAACAAGTGTTAACAAAAAATAAAATAAAAAGGAAGAGGAAAAAATAAAATAAAATTCTTTGGTTAAAAAAAAGCAAGTATGGATTCCCCACTTTCTCTTTCCTTTTCCAGTGGATGGGAGTAGAGATTTCCAATATCTTCCAGGGTAGAAGGTCAGGTCCACTTTGGAGGAAAGCTACCCACCAATCAAGATTATTGGAGCAAAAATGTTTTGTGAATGAGAAATAAATGTTTCAGTGTGAACTGATATTTTGAGGTTTACCTTTTACAGAACTTAGCATGAATGACCCTAATTAATATAGAGCATATAAATTCATTTTAGTTTTAAAACCCCTTCCTAGCTTTCTTGTTTAAGGATACACAGTGGTCAACGCTGTAGTTTGCCCAAGATGAGCTACCTCGTACCCTCTTTGTCTAAACTGTGCTTCGCGTCCAGTCCCAATAGATGTGCCTTTCTGCACCTGTACCCTTTCCTTTTAATGCTGATCCAGTGCTACAGCCTTCAGATCTGCTACCCTTTAGCAGCAAGAGCAATAAGATGTTTTATTGTTGGCCGTTTTGAGTTCAGTGCCTTCTCATTTCCTCCTTTATCAAATTATGCTGTGGCTTAAACTTTAAAAACTTCCACTTTCTGTATGAAATGAGCACTTGTTATGCCCATTAAACCAGACGCATTTTCCCACTACTGTGAAAAAGCAGCCAATTTCAGTTCTTTCATCAACCTGCTCGACTTTCTCAACCTGTGTCAACCTCCTGCACCAGCCTGTTCATCCACCAAAGCACCTCAGTCATGCATGAGGAAGAAGTCTACACTGCCCTTCAGTGGGACAGTCCAACGCCACACTCTTCTCAGAAATGTCTTTCCTCCACCAAAATTTCAGGTAACCACTTTTAATTATTAGTTTATGCTTTATTTCTGGCTCTACAAGGAGCCCAGGATGTTCCTTCTAATCTGAGATAACTTGCTTAAAACATGGCAATATACCTGCCTGATACACTAAATGAAATCACGTAGGGGAATAAATAAGGATGAAAAAGGAAAAGAGAGCTGAATTCAACAAATACGTGGTTCGCTTTTTTTATGCCCCAAACACAATTCTTGGATTGAAAAATAAATGAAGAAAAGCATATAATTTAATTTTTTTACTTCTTATATAGAATCTCTGTAAATTATCTTCCTTAGTACTGAACAAAAAACAGGTTAAAACGCAAAATCTCATTGTTCTAGAGCTGTCTTCTATAGTGATCAGTTATGTCTGCATTATTTAATATTTATTTATGTGTTGGTGTAACAAATCACTAGAGATTACGACTTTATTATTTCATAAAACTCACATTGAATTTAATTAGTTTTGAAGTTAATTTTGCTACATTCAAATCAAGTTTTGGGTAGAGTTTTAGAAAAGGATTTACTCCCTTTTACTTGTCTGGAGCTGCATTTATCAGTCTCCTTGGCTTTTGGCCCCTTCCCTCCATCTTCAAATCAAACAGCATAACATCTCTGGCTGTTCTCTGTTTCCAACACTGCACCGCACTGTGCTTCTAATCTCCTGCACCGTCCAGGATAATCTCCCCATGCCTAATCTTTAACTCAGTGACATCCTTAGAACATAGCAAATCATACATTCTTCATATTTTCCTTCTGAAAAATTTGCTAAGAAAATCTGTTCCTTATCCAAAATTATACATTGAATATAAAGTTATGAGCATGGGCTGCATTAAAAGTAAGGAAGACAAAAGTCCAGCCATCAAATACAGAACCGAAAACACTGTGGAGCCTGTCAGTACCAGTGCCCGCCATCACCGAGCAGAGCACACGGCGGCGGCACCGTCCTCTTCAGTGAAGGGCACAACGGCCACTTCAGCAGCCTCTCCCTGACACCGTTTGGGGGATCCTCGGGGGTGATTCCTTTTGGGGGAGAGTCTCCCTCATTCTCAGTGGTGCCAAGTTCATATCCTGCTGATTTAACAGGGGGTGTTACTATATTTGAGGCCTTATATGATTATCAAGCTAGAACTACAGAAGACCTTTCATTTAAGAAGGGGGGAGGACTTCAAATCCTTAACAATATGGAAGGAGACTGGTGGGAAGCGAGAGCAAGCCCAACAGGAAAGAATGGCTGTGTCCCTGGCAATTATGTGGCTCCTGCGGATTCCATTCAGGCAGAAGAATGGTATTTTGGCACAATGGGGAGAAAAGATACAGTTATGAGTGTGAACATACAGTATATATCAATCATGGTCCAGTGAAACTGAGAAGATATGGGAGACCTGACACAGCATTCTTGTTCTCAAAAGTTCAGTGTGGCTCTCTGGCCTGTGATGGTCCCTAAAAATTGTTGAAAAAAATACATACGATTATTAATGACATTGTAACATTCTGTGTAAGGATCAGAGAAGTATACTTCTAAATCTTTTTTTTTATATTTTCCAAATCTGATGGATCCCAAGTTGTAAATCTCATGAGAGTTAAAGCAAAGATTTTTCTTATGCTATTGCAAATTCCTGCCCTTAATAATTCTTCTGTACGGATGCTTGGTGCTAGTTACTTCTATCATTCAATTTTATCTTATTCCACCCAGCCCCTGTCACTCAATTTCATTCTTCTTCTTGTACTTTTAGGATCATGGTGTACTCTGATGGTGATTTCATGTATTTTCTGCATAGGCTTATTATCAACATCTATTTTCTTGGGAATCAAGTGTAAGTATAAAAGACTATCTTCAAAATAATTAACCACATATACACATTATGAACTATATATAGCTTATATGCACTTATACACATCTGTATCATTATACATCTAAAATTTCAGAATTTATAAGTGAATGTAAAAAGTCAATTAAGAACTATCTGAATGATAGTGTTATAAATGGTGTAAAAGGCTTCCTAGATTAAACTAGAGGATATTTATTTGATTTAACCCTGAGGATTTGATAACTTTCATTAATCAATTAAATGCTTTTTAACTCTGTCAGGTCATAGGTCTCTGGGAAAAACAATGCAAAAAATCTTTCTTTCCTTCCTTCTTTTCTGCAAACTTAGGGCTCTGTGCATGCAAAGCGAGTGCTTTATCACTCAGCTACATCCTTGACCCTATTCATTTTGTTCTGAGTCAATTTGTAAGTCACCTCAACAAGCCAAAGCACGCACTGTAGACGGTCTCAGAATACGCTCTTCCATTTCTATATATGTTTTTTCTAAACTTGACTTTTTTTGGTTACTATAATGTACTTTATTTTTCATTAGGTGAAAATCTAAATATTTAAAGAAAACCTGAGAGATTTATTCAGGCTATATTTACCCACACTGCTTTATTCTGCTCAGTACAAATTGGAGAAATGTTGCCATGTCTGATGAGTGCAATTTAATAGTCATAGAGCCTTACATTCCAGAAAAAGAACTGAGAACCTCTCATGTCATTCATATTAGCACTCAGAAAATACACTTAGCAATATAGTGATGAAAGTTAGTGGGGTTTTAAAATTATTTTTCTTTGTGTTGGCAAATCATTTACCTAGTGGCCATCCATTTGGTACAGAGGAAGCTCTCTCTATGAGCTCTGGGGATGGGAGAGGGGAAGGTTCACTCTGTTTCACTAAGCAAAGAAGCCAGGTCCTACAAACATGATGTTGGGAGCTTCATTTTCCTTAGTGTCCTTAGAGAAATGTTTAAGAACTACTACTGACCTCAATCTGTAATTATTACCTTGTCTGCATCAGTGAAGTTTCACAGCCCAAAATGGTTATTACATCTTTCAGGAATTATTCCTTCTCTAATCTCCCTGTATTTATTTTTTATATTTTAAACAAATTCCAGTCCATTTTTAGAGATGTTCATGGATTGAATATACATTTGTAAGACTCTGAAAAAATGAATTAAAAAAGACTAAATAGATAAGTCCACTAGCTTCTGATAATCCAGTTTATTCTGTAAAATCTGAGGACTTTTAATGAAATATTGACAGGCTCTTGTGTGACTCTACTGTGTAGGAGTTGATCTCATATTTCATTTATCAAAGGCTACAGTTTAAATAAATGTTATATCTACATAATGAACTTTGGTGTTCATTATATACATTAAGAATATAAATGAAGGGGCCGAGGATTTAGCTCAGCAGTTCAGTGGCCTGCCTTGCAAGCGCAAGGACCCGAGTTCAATCCCCGGTACCAAAAAAAAAAAAAAAAAAAAAAAAAAAGTAAATTTAATTATAAAAAACATTTTTCATTAAAAACAAAATTAACTGGGGACACAGCATCTTGAATCTGCACTGTCAAATGAATGGAATATATAAACATAAATCTACACTCTTCAGTTGTAACTATGAGATAGCAAAATATCCTACAATACATGCTAAGCATGTTTATATAATACATTCTTCCTTTTCATGTCCTCAATAATGCTTCTTGTCTAGTATAGACATAACTTTGTTTTTTTTATGTGTGTTGTACATGAAAGTTGTTTAGATAAACCATGGCAATCATGTTGCTAAGAAACGCTGAATTTTCTTAAATGATATTATTCTTTCTTAAATGATTTATCACAGCAGCACTATTTTTGGAAATCTCTACTATAGAAAACTTGTACAATGAGAAAAAAACAAAAAAAGGATTGGAAAAAAATAGCAGCATTGGTAAGAAACCATTTAAAGAATTAATTGTACATCACACAACAATGACATGGAAATATCTTTATGGTAACTTAAGTGACATTCAAAATAATATATCCATATCACCATAGTTTCAACAGTTTGGTTTAAAAAGAATAATTTTTTGAATTTATACAAAATACTAACTTATTTATAAGAAATAAATAAAAGTGACCCAGAAAGAACAAACCAGATGACAATGGAGAAAATAAGTTATTTTTGTTTACTTGTAATTTTTAAATGCTTCAGTCCCATGGATGTAGGACTAAAATATTTTTAACTCACAAAATAAAAATGGCATGGAAAAAGTTACTTTGATTAATATGAGGAGAAGCTAACTAGAAAATAGTGTGTTTAAGACTCAGTACTTTCTGGAAAATTCTTATAAATGGAAGTTTTCCTTTTGTGTTTTCTTAATAGCTATAGATGTGTAATAGCTCTAAATGTATAACATAGAAATGTAAAATTATTTTTCCTTTGGCTTTTGTTCAAATTTAGTAGCTTTTATTTTTTTGTTGTTATCAATATTTTGATTTGCCATTTCTCCTCATACATGCTTAGAGTAATGGATTTTTTTTAAGTAGGACCAGTTACTGCAAAGAAACAGTTGTGCTAAGCAAAAAGTAGCTCACTCTCTTCAAATATCTCTTCTGCTAAATAAGTAATTGCTTTTCTCTGCTGATTATAGATTATGTAATAGCCAGTAGATCTTGAGATATTAAAATCACATTCAATTTTAATAGGTATTCCATTTGACTAATATTCTGTTTTAATAATGTATTTTTACTACAAAGAAATTATAAATATTTGAAAAGACAGATATCTTTTTTTTTTTTTTTGGTACTGGGGATCGAACTTGGGATCTTGTGCTTGCGAGGCAGGCAGCAGAACCACAGAGCTAAATCCCTGGTCCTAGATATACTTATTTTGTTGAAAAAAAAAATATATATATATATCACAGTAACCCATAAATACATACAATCTTTATGTTGTTAATTAAAAATCAAACTAGATATAAAAAAAGAATATGATACTTTGTAATTAGCATGTTCTGTCAAAAATTATTATTCCCCTTTTCCTCAAATTGTATAAATTTACTAGCATTCCATTAATATGCATATCATTATGGTGTATTTTAAAAGTAGATATATAAAGAAAAAATGTTGCTTTAATGTTTTTCATAAAAACTTCCAATGTAAGAAAAATATCAAAATTTGTATTTAAATTATTTATTCATTTATATATGTATAATTTCTATATATACATTTTGTTTTACAAAATTGGGACCTATTTCAGACAAAAGATGGTGAATTAAAACCTATTTTACAAAATGCTAAGTAAGAACTGTTTTATGTTGTATGAAAATGGAATTTATATATGTGGTAATAGGAGGAACTGGTAAAGTTAATCATACAGAAAAATATAATGCATTAATTTAAAGAAATCTTGTAGAAATTGGATGTGGTTAATGAAATATTTTCCTATAAAATAGTAGACTAAAAAGTCATTTGTAAAAAAATAACTTTTCTAAATCCTATATGTAAAATAGATGTACATATGAATATATTTGATAAGCATATATAAAGGGATTTCAATGGATTTAAACTAAGTAGTAATGATCAATACAGTGGTACCTTGGTTCATAAATGTATGGGAACAATTTGATTCCCAAACAAGTGTTTGGCAAAATTTTGTTTTGTTTGCAAACTTTGCATCCAGTGACAAATATAACCACAGCCATCTTCCCTGCACAAACGTAGACGTGGCCATCTTGTCCAAAATTGTGGAACAAAGTAAGTTCATGAACCAAGGTACCACTGTATGTGAATAATTTGCGAGTTAACTAGACTTAACTTTTACTTTTATTATTTTGCTTTTCTGGTTCTTCTATCATATTACTTACTCTATTTTTCTTTTTCAAAAGCTCTGAGTGGACGCAGTGGGGCACTCCGGTAATGTCAGCTATTTGGGAGGCTGGAGCAGAAGGACTGAAAGTTGGAGGCCAACCTGGCCAACTTAGCAAGGCTTTGTCTCAAAATGAACAAAATGGGCTGGGAATGTAACTTAGTGGTAAAGCACTTGCCTTGTACATATGAGGCAAGGGCCCTACACTAAAGGAAGAAAAAACTCTATAATGTAAAATGTTTTCTAAAACATCGGGGGGGGTTGCATATATTTTTATTGTTCATTTCATTTCCATTTGTCCAATTCATCCATTAGATATAATATAGATTATCATAAAATAATTATGCCTGTTACATTTCTATAGGTAATTACATTGTTTAGTTTTCTCTATTGAAAGTTAGTTACAACCTCATCACCAATATAGGTGAACTATTTCGCTTCCCATTTAGGAAGAAACTCAAATCAGAAGTGTTATTTCCCTGTCTCCAAATTTGTTACAGTTTCATGCAGAACCAGAGGGCAAAGAGCAAAAATCAAAGCAGCCATACTTCCTTAAGAAAAAGCTAATCTAAAAAATTTTGAATCAAAATTTAAACTTTTAAAACTATATTTAATGTTTCTAAAAGGTAGGATATTATATTTTAGTCTCTAAATGTGCAATACCAGTAGAAGATGAATAATATGATTTTCCTACTCTGACCTCTGGACAGGTCTGAACCTTTCTAAGAAGTGAAGAAAACAATCCTCTCAGCTAACAAAATTTGGATAAGCCAGGCGACCCCACTTGCTTTCTGTAGTCCAGGGTTATGAGTCAATCAGAACAGGCGGCAAAGTAATTCAGTGTTCTGCTATGTATGCTGACTTGACCAGAAGGTGGGAAGGAGCAAAGCACTGATACAAATTGTGTTCTTCTACACATAAATTATATTCTTCCCTTTCAGGACAATATTCTCTACTGAATGTGCTTACAAAAGTATAACCTCGCATACAAAGCATTTTCTATGAATGACTTAGAAAATATTGGATCTATGTGTAAATTATCACAAAAACAAAAACAAAATCCTGGGGAAATGTAAATGGCTCACTTCATACAAAAACCTGCCTTCTCGGTCCTTAAGGGTATCAACAGTACCAAATAAGAGTTGGTCATTAAAGGAGACTCACAGAACCGAAAAAGACAGTCCTTACACACCTGGTTTTCAAGATAAGGATGTAATTTAACAACCGCATTTAATAAAGACACTGTTTGACAAAGTCCATCTCAGTAGCAGGGCTCTGTGCCCTTCTTCTCAGCCTTTTCAGGAGATGTTCTATCTTAGACTGGGAATCACTGCCAAGTACATAGGGTACCATGATGCAGCAGAGCCCCAAATAGAGCATCACTGGGGATTTTTATATTTTTCTGATCAGAGTCAAAATTTTGCTGAGGCAAGGTAACCCACCTTGACAGCAGAATTCTCTGAGGGTCTTATTATTACCAGGAACAACCATCTATCATATTGTCATCAGGAAACAATGCTGGCATGCTAGTGTAACCCAGCCCCTAAATTCTCACCACTGTGGTTACAAAGCTACACTGTTTACCCGGGTGTCTCATGCTTTGTTTGGAAGCTAGGGCCGTGTGCAATTCCCGAAACCCTGCTTGGGCCGATTCTAGCTTGGCTGAAATTAATTATCACAGCACAATGCAACAATAAGGAAGAGACTAGAAGCTCAATGGTGAGAAATTCCGAAAGGTGCAGTCATATACTTTATAACAAATAAAATACACCTGCCTCAATATGTGAAGAGAATTTCAACCTCAAACAAGAAGATAACCACAGATTCAGGTGACATTGAGTTTTCTACTGTGCAACAGTATATTTGGAGGGTGATTTGGAAATATGTAACACAATTTAACTGCATACTCTGAAATCACAACTCGTTTTAAAAATATACTTGCACATGCGTGCAATATGTAAAGACGGATTCTTTACGCACTCATTTTTGGAATACAAAAACATTACAAATAATCCAAAGGCAACAGAGAAGTTTGTAGGAAATCATGATACATCCATACAGTGGGATCCTATCCTGTATGGTTATAGTGGAGGAAGGAAAGAAAGCCCCGAAGGTACTGATGTGGAACTAACCAAAATATATTTTAAGTAATAAGTGGTTCAGCGCTACACAAACTCGTTGTTACTGTCTGTGTAAAGGGAGGAGAGAGAGAGAGAGAGAGAGAGAGAGAGAGAGAGAGAGAGAGCGAGCTTTTTATTCCTTGGCTTATAAAATTAAAATTATCTTTGGGGGGGAAAATGTAAAAATTGGTAAACCACTCTGCTCTGGGGAAAGAAGCCAGATGAAGAAAGCAGCAGGAATGATGGAGGCTTTTCGCCCTGCATTGTTTCTAGCATTTGATCTTAGTGTAAATTTTAAATAAAACCCTAAATAATGCAAATTTGGATCTCAAAGATAATCAGTAGTCTTTTCCTTCATCTGTGTTGAAAGATTACTTTGTTCCCAGATTTCTTAAGGACAGCATTACTGTCGTTAGTGTTCCAGGCGACCACCACCATAATGAAGCAAAAAGAAAAACTCATCCAGCAGGACAGAGAGCTGTCGAACTGCACACAGTGGGAGAAAAAACATGTACTGCAGAAGAAATATTGCCAAAACTTACCGCAAAGCTTTAACAGTTCAGGTAATTAATAGAATATCAGTTTTCACCACGGAGCTCTAAACACACACACCAATTCTTCAGAAGAAACAAACACCACGTGTTTCGTTCTCTGAAAAATTTTTAGTCAGGGTTCTATAGTAGGGAGGCATAGTATCAATCACTCTTCAGTCCTTCTCATACTTTTAAGCAGTGTGTGGAAAACACTGAAGTTTCAAAAAAGTAAAGCCAAACAAGAAGTAATGTGAAATGCCAGGGTGAAACGTGTGTGAAGTAAAATTGTAAAAGTAACATTTTATTTTATCTAGTCACTCAAATTGTAAGTGTATCTTTAATTCTAACTCCAAGTTCCCCACAATATTTAATTTAGTTATTACTTGAAATTCAAATTTAGATAATGGTTTGAGCAGAAAGATAATTGTGAAATAAGAATAAAATCATAACCACATGCAATATTGAACTCTTTCAAAAGCATCTATAAAGTTAGAATTCTAAGGTTAGAATTCCCTGTAATGGAAAAGATGGAAATAAAGTGCTTGTAGATGGGGAGGGGAGGAGGGGGTGAAGGGAGGGCAGGGACAAGGGGAAAAAATGAGAACCAAGACCTGTCACGCAGAGGTACAAGATCCCAACAATGAATGTAACTGTACTGTATCTCTAAAATGTACCACTAAACTCAATTAAAGCTGAAAAAAAATCCCTATAATGATCATTTAAATGACGTAGTTGCCAAGGAGAGGTACAAAATATCTACCATAGTTACCTCTGACTGAAAATTAATTAAGTACTTGTTCTAAGAATCACTGTGTTCTCCACGGTGTTTAGAATGTATACAAGCTGCTGCAAGCATGAGTCAGGCCCTTCTCAGAGCCCTCAGCCTTGAATGCCAAGACAGTACCCATTTTGGAGACCTACGATTCCAACATGTTCTCCACCCCTTCAAATACCATTCTCAACGCTACCTAACTTATAACTTTCACAACGTTTAGGGAACTGATTAGCATTGGTTCCGACCAAGAAATACTGAAAAGCCTTAAAGAACTCAACATCTGGGCAGTGGAAAGTGCAAACGAACTACCTCGCCCTACATAGAGGGCCCCTTTCCAAAGACTACAGCTCTGGATCTTCCAGTATCTTTCCCCTCTATGAACTGTGTCGCCCCCTCTTGGTCAGATCTTGCTGGTTTGTTCTTTTCTGTGCAGTTAGCCTTTTTTCTCTTGTGAATAATTTTATTTTAAAACAAGGTCCTTAAAACTTATTAAATATTAATGCATCTTAATTTTATCGAAGTCAAAAATAAGCACATTGTTCTTTTTTTAATTATTTACTCTTTACTAGTATGTGTTCATAATACATGTTTTCATTTATCACGGGGAGCTGGTACACGTAAATAACACATCTTCATTCCTTTTTTATTCCCTCCCCCTGTTATTTCTCTCTGCTCCAACTCTTGGTCCTCTTCCCATTTGCAAAAGCTCTATTTTTATTTAGTTTGGTTCTTTTAGTTTTACCATTCTCTTTCCTTCACCCCCTTCACCTCCTCCTCCACCCACTTCTTGTCTCCCTTCCCATTTGTAAAAGATCACCTTACTTCCTCTTATCTATCTTTTATTTTGCTTTTTATTTATATGTTGGGTTTCTCATATCAGAAAAAAACATACAATATTTAAGCTTGTGTGTCTAATTTACTTAATAATATGGACTCAGGGTACATCAGTTTACCAAGAATGCCTCCAGTTTATCCTTAAATGTGGCAGAGTAATACTCCAATGTCTATAACTACTACACTTTCTTTATTCATTCATCTGTTGATAGGCCATTTTCAAAACTTAATTTTTCTAAATTGTGTTGGCATAAACATGAGTATCCATAATATGATGACTTTAACTCTTTTAGGAAAATATCCAGAAGGGGAAAACCTGGCTCAAATGGAATTTGTTTTAGTTTTGTGAGGATTCTCGCGATATTTGGCTTACTATTCAACCCACCTAATCATTCAGCACATTTCCAGCTAAATTAGGGTAATAAGATTAATAGGAATGAAACAGTAAGACAAGACTTTAAATAATGTAAATTCAAAGAAAGGAAAGATGGATAAAAGTTGAAAACTCAGATCTTTTTTATATAAAAGATGACAAATTTGGATAAAAACAACTCCAAATCAATTCTAACTTGAACCACCTTTTATGGCAGGTGAGAATTGTATAAATTGCTTTGTGTTCTTCCTCAGAGAAGCTGGAATTGATAAGTACTGTACCATGGGGAGAGTGAGAATATTGTTAGAATATTGAGCACAATTATTCTAGGGAGATATGCTACTAATATTTTACAGTGATGATAATAAAGTAAAATATTTATGTTCAAAGCCCGTAACTGTGGACCTTGTCCACACAACTGGATTCAGAATGGGGGAAGTTGTTACTATGTTTTTGAAACCTGGAAAATTTGGCACTCTGGTAAAGAGAACTGTTTGGAGGAAGGCTCCCGGCTTCTACAAATAGACAGCAAAGAAGAAATGGTAAGTGCTGTTTAATGGCTTTTTTCTGAAAATGCCATTTTTTTATTAGAAGAAAGCATAGATTCTCATAAGATGGAATTCCTTATTATTCTACAACAGTAGTATATTTACTAAAATCAAGGTTTAGAGGACACAAGGTAAAAAGAATGGATTATTTTCCTTTTAGTGGGAGAAACAAAAACAGCTCAGGTTTCCAGAAATCAAGAATATGTTGGGTCTATGTGCTAAAAAGGGAGAGGGAGTAAGAGAAATATTATTCTCTGACACTGTCATCTACCTCAAGCTATACCACATGATAATTGTATGTATGTTTTCAAATGTATAACTTTACAAATTGTAGGCAAATATAGTAATTTGTAATGATTGTAATTAGGAAGGAAAACGTAAAAATTTAAGTGATGTTATGAAGTTAACAGGTCCATAAGTATTTGATAAATAAAATATTTAATTGGTATTAAACCTAGTTTACCAATATTGTAACAAGTGAACAATACAACGGTTCTCTGAAATCATTCTACCAATAAATATGGTAGACCAGAATGCACAGTTGCACATTTCTGACCATATGAAGAATTTGTAGCTTTTATATTCAGTAATTAGTTCATTTCTAAAAGAGTAATGGGAAAACAATCTGTTAAGGACTTGCAATAAACCAGGAAGACTTGAGCTACATTTTTATAATTATGGGCTCAAAAAATTTTTTTCTTTGCAAATTTGATGATAAAAGTTAAAAATGTTTCTTCAAATAATATGTTTATACTTAAATTTCCCCTGTAATCTCCTGAACTATTTCCCCATTGAAGCACATCAGGAAAGAGTGATATTTGTGATGTGGGATATTTTTACTTCTGATAAAGAAAGAACAGTGTAACTTATTCTTTTCATATGTATTATCTGTTGGACTCTGGATCTCTCTGGCTCTGTTAAAAACTATTTTAATACCAGAGTCCTTTATTTTCCATAGTAATTAACACCATGTTGATCCTACTGCAACAGAAAAAAAGTCTATAAAATATATCCCCACTTTTTTAACATCCTCTCTTTCTCCAGCATTTAAGTTCCCACTAATTTCTGGCTAGCAAAATTTCCGGCTTTATATTTCAGACTGGTCTCATTCATTGTTTCTTTAAATTCACAATTCAGGGTTTGTTTCTTACAGGATTTTGTCAGCAGAAGCTTGCAGAAAGTCAAAGCCAACACTGATTACTGGGTGGGAGCTTCCTGGGATGGACCCCCTGGACCATGGCTTTGGCAGGATGGCTCTGCTCCTCCTCCTGACCTGTAAGTCTCTAAAGGAGATGTTATGAGGAAATTCAGAAAAATGAAAGAATTCAGAAGTTTACTTTATTATCTACCTTGGATTTCTGCTGGGAGGTATAGCAACATGATAATTTTACAGGCTCCTATCTGGAATTAATGCTAATACAACAGAAAGGGTGCATCACAGTATCTAAGTCTTCCCTCAATTCTCTCTTACTGTTATCCTCTGGAAAGTTCACACCAAAGTGTGAGGGTCTGAGTGAACAATATAATATAACTTTGAACTTCATGCTTTGTATCACCTAATGCTTAGAGTCCACTAAAACAGAGATTGTAATAATTATTAAATTTCCACGCTAAGCTTGTCAGCTAAAACTAAAAAAGCTAATGAGCAGAATCAAATGAATTAAGAGTTGGGAGAGATATTTGTATCTATATATCTACTGCTGTTTACATGTCTCTTGCTTGCCTCATAAGCTACTTGTTATGTTAACATATTTTTTATTGAGACAAATAGCTATTATTGAACAAAGAAGGTAAAATCATAGGAAGGTGCTATATGAAGACAAAATAAAACAAAACAAGAAGCATCTCTCAGGAGTCTCCTGCAGGAACATCACTATCCCCTTGACTCTGACCTCAGACTCTGACTTACTTTTCCAGGTTGCCAATAACAAGACCCCAATCAATTAACCAGGTCTGCGCATACCTGAGAAATAATTCCCTTTTCTCTGCTAGTTGTACCAGTTGGAAATACTTCATCTGTGAGAAGGATGCATGAAGATCCTCCATCTGAAAGCAGTTGTTCACAGTTGGCCTTTGTTTTGCATTGGTACTTAGAACAAGCACTTGGAAAATCTGCCACAAATAATCATACATCAAATACAGAAGAAAACTAGAATAGTGAGAGCTCTGAAGCCAGCTCTCTGGGACTCAAAAGATACCTTAATATTTGGTAATATTTGTCAGTACTTGCCAGATTTCAATTGACATAGTTCAAATTGCCAAGAACAAAATTGATTTCATGTTTCAAAGGACCAATCCTGCTACACCAAGAACAATGTAAGGAATATAGCTAATTTCCCTCTCTCTCTCTCTCTCTCTCTCTATGTCTCTCTCTCTCTCTCTCTTTCTCTCTCTCGTGTGTATCAGGAATTAAACTTGGACCCTTGCGCTTGAAAGGCAGGCGGTGGAACCACTGAGCTAAATCCCCAGCCTATTTTTCCCTTCTTTTTCAAAGCTAGAGGAACTATAAATGCAATACAGAAATCTATATGTCCCTGGGGAAGGTGATACATTTATAGCATTTATGATTTTTAATAAATAAGTTAATAAAGTATGCCTTCTAAACGTACTGCCTGCCAGATCTTTCTCTGTGTGTTCTAAACTTCAAAGCGGTATATTATTGGACTGACAGAACGAGAGGTCAGAGATAGGGATTTCCAAACCGCGAAGGTTTGTGTCTACAGTCTCAAAAGGCACCCTGTTCAGAACACAACTTCTAACACATCATAGAAGTGGAAAAGCTAGTCAGGACACCACTACCAGTGTGTCCGTCAGTAAAGGACATCTGTGAGCGTCCTTCTCTCCCTCACTGGCCATCCCTGCCACTCACAAGCCGAGGGACCTCCAGAGTTAACAGCCCAGCTCGCTTAGCTGCATTTCTCACTGCCCCTCAGTGTAAAACAATAATAGTATCTATTTCAGAATTTGTCTGATGATTAACTCGGAAACATACATAAGCTATCGAGATGATGTTTCCTGTCGAGTTGGTCACTACACGGGTGCCTCAGTTATCACCTGGAGTAAATCTCGAATCCTCTGCCTGCATCGAGCTTGGCCACCCCTCCCTATTCCTGTTTATGTGGCAGGGTTCCTGAGAAGGTAACGTTTTTATGGCAATTGTCAGCAATCTGTTTTAAAGCTAGTGAATCCTCCTCAAATAAATCCTTCAACTGCTTTCAACTTCCTCAATCTGTAGGTTCTTTAAAACATTCATTCTAAGAGACAGTTGCCATGGAAGTATTTTATCATCTACAGGAAGGAAAATTCACTAATTAGTGTTGTCTTTTCCACTATATGCGGTAAGTCGAGCAACACCTCAGCACACAGGGTGTCCTCAATAGATATTTGCTAAATTCAATGTAACTTTATTTAATCCTTCATTTCTCACAAGATGTAGCTGAGATACATGTTTTCCTTCCTTGAAGGCACTATTTATATAAATATAAAACCAAATTCAATAAGGCAGCAGATTATTTAAATGAAATAAAATTATCTTCTTGCCTAGATGTCTTTTTACCATAGGTAAAGTCCTGTAAGAATGGGAAGAAGATGCTTTTGTTTTTTCTTTATTTACCTTACTTACACCTGGAGTTTAAATGATGAGTAGAAGCAAAACAAGTTTCTCTAGTTTTCTTCGTTCCTTACCAAGTGAAACAGCCCCCTTGCAAAAACAAAGTAGTGTAAGTTGTCTCCTGTCGCAGCTGGCAGCTGGCAGCTAAATATAATAACTTGGAATAAAGGAGGGAACAATAGCCATTTTCGGTGGTAAAGACTGTTTGTCAAAGTATCCTCATGGAGCTATGTTTAGAGAAAGGATAGGAAGCCTTTATAATTCTTCTTAGGAAAAGTACAAGGAAACGAAAGGCAAGCAAACATCCTCCATCTGATGTTATCCTGCCAGCACACAATGCAGTATTTACAAGGTAGCAGTTTATCTACAACGCCCCTGCTAGAAACTCCTACAAATTTCCTCAGCAACAAAGCTGCTTCCATACAGATGGTATGGATAGGACAGTTTCCCCTGCAGATTGCTTTTGTCCCAGGATACCAACATTTTTTAAAGGCAGTTAGCACTGAGATAACCAGTTTTATATCCCACTGAGTATTTTTGATCAGTCGCATTGAATTTTAAGTGAGCTTTAAGAAAATAAATGAAAAAATAACTGTCCCACGTGAGTAAAGAGGCTCTTATGGGTAACAACTTTAGAATAAGAGGGTAAAAATACGTGTTAGTCTGAAAATCTGTTTGTACACGTCTTGCACAAAAGTCACGTGCACTGTAGATAACCTTGTGCTCCTTGCGCCTCCTTCAATACTTCCCAGAATCCCAGAATTCTGTGGAGGATTTGATTCCCAAACCCTAAGCCTGGCCGGAAAACAGCCCGATAAACTCTTGTACGTGGTCCACAGTCTGCTCACATCCCGCAAATAAAAGTTTATTACCTATCTTGTACTTCCTGCTGTTCCGGGCTCACGACATGCTTCCTGTTGATAAGTTCCAGAGCCGGTTTAATATCCTCAGGAAGAGAAAGGGTTCGCTGTGTACTCTGGGGAACCCAGCTCCACCAGGAAAGGCCTGTTCCTCACGTGACTCGTCCTGCACTTTCTTCAGAATCATTCACACACAGAAAAACCTCCAAGAGAAAGTCTTCCGATGCCCCAGAATCCCCCATTCATGGTTTCCACCTGATTCTCAACTGCAAATTCCTCTCAGCGCATTAGATTTTCCATTCATTTTATGATTATTTCCTATATTTAAAATTTTAAAAGTAGGTGAAAATGCATCATACCCTGTTTCTGTCCTTTTGAAATGTTTGCTTGTAATTCTATTAATATTGGGAGTTTTACAAAGGGGATTATGAGCAAATATGAAACTCAAGAAAAGAATGTCTCATAAATGCTTTTTTTTTTTTCTTCTTGCCATCTAAAATGATATTTTCCATTTGGTCCCAGATTTGGTGTGCTATTGACCATGCCCTCTCTAGGCAACTGAAACTACAAAGCAGTGCAGTTAAAAGGCATTTGTCCTCATTTACCATTTCGGTTTCTCATACTAGAGAAACAATGTGATATTTTAAACACGTTTGTCTGATTTATTTTGCCTAACAGTGTGGTCTCGAGGTACATCCATTTACTTAGAAATGTATAATAGAAACTGGGAAATAGGAAGAAAAGGTTTAAATGGAAGGGGAACAAGGGAAGGAGGAGAGGAAGGAAGAAAAGGAAAAGAAAAGAGAGAACAAAAGGAAAAGAAAAGAAACAAAGCTTTTATAAAAAGGGGGAAAGAGGGTTGGGGATTTAGCTCAGTGGCACCGCCCTGTGTTGGATCCCCTTACCAAAAAAAGGGGTGGCATGGGGAGGGGTTGAGGAGAGGAAGGCATTGGGGAATGGGGCAAGGGAAGGAGGAGAGGAAGGAAGAAAAGGAAAAGAAAAGAGAGAACAAAAGGAAAAGAAAAGAAACAAAGCTTTTATAAAAAGGGGGAAAGAGGGTTGGGGATTTAGCTCAGTGGCACCGCCCTGTGTTGGATCCCCTTACCAAAAAAAGGGGTGGCATGGGGAGGGGTTGAGGAGAGGAAGGCATTGGGGAATGGGGGGGGGGAATGTGACCATTATGTATATCTAAAGTAAACCAATAAAATTAGCTTTAAAAAGTGATTTTAAAATAAAATAAAAGCAAAATATAATAGATCTTTCACTTTTAAAAAAGCATCTGTCATCTGTCTCTGGCCATAGAGGCCACGAGTCAAAATTTAAATGCCTGCTATGCTCCCATTGTACAATTTATTCCATAACAGTATTCATCTTTTGCGTGTTAATCATGTTTTCTTCCTGTAACAGCAAGGCTTAAATAGAAGTTGCCTAACAATAGGCTGAATCCTCATTTCTTGTTGTACAACTATTGCATTAAGCACCATCACTGAATAGCTGCACTCATTGTAGAAAATACTTGACGATATCCTCAATTCCCCAATGTAGACATCTTTGAGAAATTTCTTCATGAATACAGATCTCCAACATGACTGTTTATGCATGCTTATCCTCCTTTAATGAATCTTTCAATCCTTTTAAATGTTTTTACATTTTCCTTTCATTTGATATTGCAATCTAGATTAGGACACTAATTTCACATTTACCTCATTTATCGAATGGTAGCATCAAAAGAGGAAATGATAAATATTTTCCATGCTTTATTTAATGAAATAAAGCTCCATGAAGTAGTGATTTGCCTGATCAGTAAATCAGAATAAAAAGTCTGAAATCCTAGTTTGCTGACAACAAATACAGTTCTCTTTGCAGGACACAATAAATCAAGCATGAAATGTATTTAAAGGTAAAGAAATTTCCTGGCTAATCAGATTTTTAAAAAACTTTTTAAATTCTCAAGGAAGAATCTGCAAGTGCTCCGATAAATTGCAGTCTTGCCAAACAGACTTTTACAAAAATGAACACAGAAGCATTTTTCCGTCACGTGATTGCTAACTTAATTTCACCATGACATAGATGTTTACTGAAAAAGAAGCTGAAGCATCCAAAATAATAAATAATTATAATGGAAGATCCTTCCTAATGTTAATCCCCTAAAACTGCTTCGTGTTTAACTGAAAGAGCCTGCTGTGGCAGTGGCATTATTTGCAAAGATTCCCATTACTGCTGTGACTGGAGACGACTTCAGAAAGACAGGTCCAGTGGAGAACCCAGATGCCACAGCCTCTCTGGCTCTTTTCACGAACTGAATGGGAATCACGAGGTCTATCGCAACTCAATTTACTCATCAGTCATGCGTTAAAGTCACAATCTTGCCTCCAGACATTTCACTTTGAGGCAATATTCAAACCACTTTCTCAGAGGTATTACGTATTTTGAAGACAAGTTTTTTCCCAAGTAATCAGATGAGCAAGGGTCTCCCAGAGTTCTCATAAATTCTCAATAAAGCACAGCTGCCAGAGTGATTATTGTATTTTGAAAAGCATGCCCATGCTGGATTTCCCCCCAAATCACAGATTCATTCTCAAACCGCACATACTTCACATCATTTAATTCATTATTATTATATCTTTAGTACCTGAAGTGAAAGGATTAAAGGGGAGGCAGCAAGAACTGAACCCAAACTCTGCCAGGTGCAATCAAGGGAGACGTTCTGTTCTTTCTGGCCTTCAACCTCCTTGAAGGGCAGTGATTCTGATGTAGAACTTGTTTAAGAATATTTATTTAAGGGGCCGGGGATTTAGCTCAGTGGTTCGGTGGCCTGCCTTGCAAGCGCAAGGACCTGAGTTCAATCCCCTGAGTTAAAAAAAAAAAAAAGAATATTTATTTAAGGTTACTGAGAATAAATTCCTTGGGAAAAGAAGCAGTTCTTGGAGTCTTCGTGGGCACAAAGAGGTACATTTAGAAGTTAATGTCCAATAAAGAGAGAGGTCTCGGTTGGAAAGCTGGCCATTGGCAAAGCAGATTGAGTCTTACTGATAGACTGCAAAGGTGTGAAATGGGAACAAACAATGAAAATTAGTTGTGTCTTCAGCAGCACAGTATAGGAAATGTGTGCTGATTTCGCCTGGACCACCTGAGCGTTGGGGTAAACTATACCATTTCCACTGAGTTCCTCTACTTCAGTGAGGTTCTTGCTTCTTTAGGCAAAAGGAAGAAAAGGAAACAAGGAGGTGATAATAGGTGACGAGAAGGAAGAGAACTAAAGATTATCTCTAAGTCACGAAGGTGGATGACAGCTCCATGGGTTTCTGGGGTTGCTGGTTAGCGGCGCCCGGATAAGATCTCTTCTGACTGGTATGTGCAGGAGCACAAGCTCAGAAGTGCTGGTGCCCTTGAGCACCCAAATGCTTTTCCCGAATAGCTGCTGGAATGTGTTCCCCTTCCGGTGTCTCCTACTCCATATCCCTTGCACTGGCCTGGCGAGGCCCGACCTTTGGGTTGGAGCTGAACAGTGGGTCCCTCCACCCAGGCACTCCGTGCAGCTAGTGCAGCCTCTCAGGGTCCACTCTCCCTGCCAGCCTCTCACATGCACAGCGCCTCAGCTCCCTGCAGTCCTTGGAGAAGGCCTTGCCGTTGAGGATGGTCACACAGTCCCTGCTTCTCAGAACGCTGCTATCTATTATTATCTCGAACCTTAAAAAAGACAAAAAAAGCTCATTAATCTTCTCCAAAAGTAAATATTAAGGACCTATGAAGTACATAAAAGCCTTCCTGGGGTAGAATGAGTTTTCTGAAAACATGGGAGGGTCACCCAGCTCTTTATTTTCAACCTTTCAATTTCTATCTCAGAAGCTTCAGGTGACCCCTCACAACAAAAACTGTTTCTAACTAAAACAAAGACATTCGGTGCCGGCTTGAAACCCTAGCACTCTGGGAAAATCAGGCAGGAGAACCCCAAGGTTAAGTCTAACCTGAGCAATGTAGTGACTTAGCGAGACCTTGTCTCAAAATAAAAAGTATAAAAGGCTGAACATATTCTGGGAACTTTGACTTAGTTCCCTTAACTGTAAAATACGAATGATTTCATTAATATGTTCTGTCTCCTGGGAGAATAAGTGTTTTACTGTAAGGAAGAAAGATATCTGTTCTGATATGCCTTTGAATATAACATTTTGGTGCAAAGTTCCATTTTCCTATTTCACAGAATTCCATGCATATGCTTATCCAAATTCACCCACCATAAGCAAAAGTACTGTTTTAGGCTACTTTTTAAATATTGTCAGCAAATCGATTCTATAAGGCAAAGGTAGCAAGTTTCATGTTTATTAAAGGTAAGAAGACTACCAGGCTTTGCAGCGTGGGCCAAGGAAAAGACGGGTAAGAAGTACACTTCACGGCGTGAGAGTGGATTACTGTGAAAGAGGACAGCAGCTGTGCTCCGTGAATGTACTTGTAAAGTGCGCTTCTCATTTCACCATGTGGAAAGCCAAGAAATGGGAAGTTTTGCCATCTTTGGCTCTGGGTATTGACAAGTTTGGTGACCCTAGAACCACCATTACAACCTGGCTCCTGGACTTCAATGTACTCTTCAATAAGTCTCTCTCTCTCTCTCTCTCTCTCTCTCTCTCTCTCTCTCTCACTCACTCCCTCCCTCCTGTTTTCCTTCCCTTTTCTCCTCCCCTCCTTCCCCTGTACTTATCCCTATATTTTTATCTCTAGCTCATTCACAGTGTCTCCTAGATACATACAGCTGACAACAGCCGGGGAATTGGCCCCTGCCATTTATTAAACATATATGTCTTCCTGGTCATTTCATAAGCCATTCAAATTCAGGAGCAAGCATTATGTCTCAAAGATCTCAGGACAGCATCCTGGAACAGCACAGTATGCAGGACGAAGGAAATGTTCAGCGAATGCTTATAAGCCAAGCTGTTGAACTCCATCACTCTCTCAATATCTTTCCCACAGAATGTCTGAAAGGCTTACAGTTCAAAGGAATAAGGTGTTCCGTCCATCCACAGCCAGGTCTTGCCACCACCATTGCGGGAGAGCCCTGTCCAATAAGAGTAGAAAAACTCAGAGTAGCTCTGATGCATGGCAAAGTCCTGTGAAGAGGCACACAAGAGAACCCTTAGCTTCAGAGGCAGTGTTACACAGACATGGAGAGTGTGCGGCCAGTCTGAGCTTCTCACCGGAGAACGACGCACAAATCCTGCCCACATAGACAACAGCGTCCTCCAGAGAACGCGGCCTCTGGGAGGAGGCTCACTGGGAATTTGTCCTGGCCAAAGAACTGATGTAGTAATTGTGGAGCACACAGTGCAGATGGGATACCTACTGACATTCTGAAGTCAAGAGTCACATCAACCACGATTTCCGTGGAACTTCTCATTGCTAAATTATAGCATTCAGCACTAAGGGTGATATAAAAATATGGGAGGAAAATTTACAAAGAGGTGTGAAATAAGTCTGGAAAATAGAAGCATTTGGAAGGAAAAGTACGAGAATGGGGAGGTGACCGCCTTAAATATCTGGGAAAGCTATTGACTGGGAATGATAAGATAATAGCGAATATGCTTCAATTTAAATGTAAGGAAAAGAAGAATCTGGAAGGATTACTTCTCGCCCTAGGAAGAGGAGGAAGAGAAATTTTTAAAATTCATGTTTATGTGTGTGTCCATATATGTATAGGGAAATGTGTGACAAAATTTTTGTAATATTCATATTGAAATTTCAAAGTTATTTATTCCTTTTTACCTCATCTTATTCTAGACTCCTAATATCATTAACATAGAAGCTCTCTAATTTGAGTACAAATAATTATATATAAAATATAAACATATTTTTTCTTCCCACCGTGCTGTGAGTTCTTTAGGACAAATGCAGTTGTTACGTACTTGAATAACTGTGGTACATACTGATTCAACAAGAGTATTGGAACTGTAAGTACAACTCTTAAAGAGTAAGAGTGGGCATATAAAAAAACTGTATTTGAAAATATTGTTTCTTGTTAAATGAGGAACCTTTCACATGAAATGTTCTGAAAGTAAATCATGTGAAAATGACCTAAATATATATAAATGTATAGAGCACATTAGAGAAAACAACTATAAGCTTTCACAAGAAAAATTTCTACCACTACAGGTAGTACATGAGTTATACTGCTGAGCTGTCAGTATGGACTAAAGTCAGAGAAAACAGAATAAGAAAAAAATAGGAGGATTTATGCCAATACATGTTGACTAGTAAAAGAAAATACCTCCCTTTATGAATAAATTGAGCCAAAAAGAAAGAGTAAAAATATTATGTTAGTAAATGATAAGCATTACAAAGGATCATTCGTACAGATATTAGGAAGTGGTAGGGGTTGAGATGTAACTAGAAGCATGTTAAGAATTGGTATAGTGACCTTGGCATTTAATTAAATAACTATTAGCTGATACCTGCTCTTGACCCAGAACTTCTTTTTTTGTTTTTGTTTTTTGGAGACAGGGTCTCAACATATAGGTGAGACTGACCTGGAACTCACTATGTAGCCCAGGCTGGTCTCGAACTCACAGAGATCCTCCTGCCTTAGCCTCCCAAGTACTAGGATTACAGGTGTGCACCACCATACCCGGCTTTGACCCAGAACTTCTGAAAAATTCTGGAGAAATAATAAATAAGTCATGGTTACTCTGATGGAGGGCTTCAACCCAAAAGCAAACTATGACAAGAGGGAATAATCATACATTTTAATAGTACTTAAATTCCATGCACTTACTGGCTACGTGTCAATTTGTACATTTATCCTCATATTTACCTTGTGTAGTCTTCTGGAAGACTTGATATATGTTTGCTAAAGATTATGCTAAAGGTTTAATTGAATATTGTTCAATTAAAGGTTTTCTCATTTTTATAATTGAAGGGCAAGTACGTGTCTCAGCCATTCTTTTCAGCCATTCTATCAATATTGTTTCCTTCTTATCCACATCAAAAGAGGAAAAAAATTAAAACATCCCCAGTTCTCTTCGTGAATGAGGGGTGGTCTGAAGGGCTGTTATTACTCAGATTTATGAAATATTTGTAGGTAGCAGAGCTCCTTTTACCTACTTTGATACAGCACCCAAAGCATCAGAAATAAGTGGAGAAATCCATGGGTCTGTACTTTGACTCGTCAGAATTTTCTTACCTATCTTTTTTTTTTTTTTTTTTTGAGTTTATTGGTACATTTAGGGATACAGTACAGTTACATTCATTGTTGGGATCATGTACCTTTACATGGCAAGTCTTGATTCTCATTTTTTTCCCCTTACCTCTGCCCTCTGCCTTACCTATCTTTTTTAAGTAAGGACTCTTTTCACAGAATCATTCGGTGATGGTTAATCTTGATTGTCAACTTGATTCGCATGAGCGGCCTAGATTAGTAATTCACTCTCCTGGGTGTGTCTAGGTGGGTCACAGGGCTATGACCATAGGAACTACATCTGATCCCGGCCCCTTACTCTCTGGCTCTTCCCAAGCTCTCTGCTTCCAACTTCTACAAGGTGCAGAGATTTTCTCTCCCATACTCTTTTGCCCTGATGTTTCTGCCTTGTGGACAGCCAGCCATGAACGGAGGCATCTGAAACTGTGAGCCAAAATAAATCCTTCCTCCTTTAAGTTGTATATATCAGATGTTATGTGTGAAAGACAGAAAGCTGACCAATACACTTTCAAACACTGAAAATACTCAGGACATTACCAGCACTTCTTGTGTGTTTATCTTCAGCATAGTAGAATTATCAGCATTGCAAAAATATTCACAGCCCTGCCAACTCTTACTATCTCTGTAGAATTGGTAGCATTTATCCCCGTGCCACTTCCATTTTTCTGGGCAAGGGCTGCACTGGGGTCCTTGGAGGTGGAGAAGACAGGAAAGAAAAACTTTAGTAAGTTTTCTTTTAACCTCAATTCCCTGCGTTTCTTCTCATGAAATTATATAGCATTTAATGTCCCGAGAACAAATTAATTCTGTTTCTTTTAGATATTTAATTTTCCAGGCAATAATAAATACAAGTATTTCCTGAACAAACACAATATTCCAGCAATTTTAATGAGTGATACATGGAAATTAAAGTAGACACTAACTTCTTATACGGAGTATGGGATCTAGTAATGAATAAATTCCATAAAGTTGTTCATGGTTTAGCAACTCAAAAATGCATGTGTTTAAGAAAAGTGCCTTTAATTTTCCCTCAAAATCCTCCTATGTAATAGTCAGTAGGTTTTTGAAAGTATAATATATACCAATGTGAGGTAGGTCCCTTTCTTACTCTAATCAAAAATAATATTTCAGGAAAAAATGAATACTAAAGGGAAGTGAACCATCATGAATTCCCAAGAAAGTCAAGAAATAGTGAGATACACACACACACACACACACACACACACACACACACAACAAGAAAGTCAAGAAAGAGTGAGATACACACACACACACACACACACACACACACACACACACGAGACAGAGACAGGCAGAGACACACAGACAGACTGAAGTGATACCTCTAATTTTTTTTACAGTACTTTTTAAATCAGAGTATATCATTGCCATGATCTATAGTCCTTATTAAAATCATTATATTTTATATCCAGCCAAGTAATACGGAATTAAAGTAACTTCTATTTGATTCAGGTTATCTGCATTTTTTATTTGATCCTTGTATAATGCTTAAAACTTGAGAACTGTAGTTGTGAGCTTATTACCTTCTTGATAGGGATAGATTTGTAAGCATACGCGCCACGGCAAATTGAGACATAATCTTATATTTCGCTTATTTGTAGTATTATACTGGTTATTCCAAGCTACTTGTTTCTATAGTTTCAAATGTTGCATTTGAAGAATTCTTTCATGTATTGTAACACAGCCACGTGTGAACTGCACAATCCAAATAACTGTGCATGATCTTGCAACTCAAACTCTTTACTGAGTTTACAAGAAAATGAATTAAATAACACACCGATCCCAGGGTCTGTGATGGGAAAGTCAGCTCTAAATTGAAAGATGTTGTAGGGGCACAGAGATGTGGACCCGCTTACCCCCACTTTTATTATAGAGCTCACGACAGAGTTTTTCAGCCACACGGTGCAGACTTTCTGCAAGCTTCTTGTTCTTGACTTGAAGAGACTGCAGTTCTTGGGACAGATTCCCCAGCCTTTCTTCCCTTTGAGCAATGACAGCTTGCTGAGCATTGGAGAGCTGGTAGAACTGAAAGACTGACCAAGAGATCCAGTCAGACTGGGGAGCCAATTTCTCAATTTCTATTTCTGTTTTTCACTTAGGAGGAAGGCAACAAGTATGTCATCTAAGATCTCAGGCCCTGAGCTCTCATGTTGCTATGTGCAAGTTCAGATTCTAGTACATACATAACAAATGGCATTATGTCGAGCAAATTCAGTCTTCTAAATGTGTCTAAAAATAAGGAATCATACTAGTTGCCCCTAACTTCAGAAGTAAATTCCCAAACTATTTTATTTTTATGTGCATTCAATCATTACTCAACCTACACAAATATGTTGATCAGTATACTGAATATTGTCGATGTGCCATACATTGTTACTCATTCAATAATTAGAATAGCACATTGTTATTTCCATATTTTTTATAAATTTGTAAGCTTGATCAGTGAGAACAAGTGACTTCCTTAAGTAGAAAATTTCAGCACAGGCTTGATCCTCGGTTTTCTAAGTCTAAATACAGAAACGCCTTATGAATCTTGGGTTATTCCTCAGAAGAGCGGCGGTTGCAAAACAATAGTCATGTCAAAAGGAAACAAGAAGTCCAGAGAGCAAATCAGTGAATTTTTCATTTTAAAATTTAAGATCCCGTAAATACAATTGTCAACATTTACTATAAAACCCCATTTTTTAGGCATTTCAGGAGTGAGGGCTTTTCCCGGTACACATGTACACAAGGGACTAAAGCAGGGATTAAAAAGCAAAGAAGGATCAAGGATCCTCAAGCATCAGAGACACCATACAAACCTAAATTTGACACTTCAGAAATCTGCTTTCCTTTGTGGTATTTTGCCCTAAATTGTCTTAAACGGCTATCGGGTCCTAACCAATAGGGTAAGTTTTACCCATTTCCCTTTTGCAGAAAACCCTACAGTTCTAGGAAGTGCACAGTGGAACAAGGATCCGGTCTCATTCACCTTCAGCATGAACTGCGTTCCCGTACACACTCACTTCCTTCTTTAAGGAACTTGTCCTGTGACAAATTTAAAGACTTCCACATGCATTCTTCTTTGATTTTCACAGCCTTTTGGGAAAATATCACAGCGATTAAAGAACTTATCTCTTCTCCTTGTATGGAGGGTGTGGATATAAACGAAATCGCTCTGTCTACGCTGAGCAGACAGGGCAAATACAACTGTCTTCCTTCTCGTGGTGTGGAAGCCCATGAAGCAGGGAGAATTTAAATACTGACTTGTAAACAGACAAGATCCCTCTTAGAATGCTTCCTTCTAGTTGGTAAGTGATTGCTACATTGTAATACTTCTGCTATTTCTCATTTAATTAGTTGCTGTTGGAAAAAAATCTTTAAAAAACATCTAATTTTTCCCAGGCGGCAAAACTAAAAGAAAATCCCCTAACAGGTGTTCTGTCTTGCAGATGAACCTGGGACCAGGATTCCCCGCCCCCTGCAGAGTACAGACTTACACACAAGGCCCAGGGCTGCCAGGCCAGTCAGCAACACCAGGCACAGAGCGAGCAGCGTCAGGGCCACCGGGCGCCACCTGGAGAGGGGGTTCCTGAGCTCTGCAGGGAAAAAAGAGAAAACAAAAATGGGCTCTTTCTGCCTCTTGGGTCTACGTCAGCGACCGGCAAAGGAGTGGAGTCAGTTCTGGAGAGGAAGAATGCGCGCAGGACAGGCAGGTAACTAACCAATTTACCCTCTGTCCTAGAAGCATGGTCTAGGAGCATACCTGAGCCCCTTTATGGAGCCTGGCGTTGTTCACAGACCCGCCCTCTTTCTGCTCTCCCGCTTTCCTACTTTAAACCAGATCACCACACACCTCACCACAATCTTCAAGTGGTTGCTTTTCTAACCTGCTTGTCAATTTCAGTTTTGAGAGACTCTCTTGCAAAACGACAGAAACACAGCCTGAGAATCCCTGAAATTTACCAGGGAACAGCTTTTCTCACCATCAGGGAAAATGAGAACCTCTAGGACACGCTCCCCTCTCTGTGTTCCACATGTGTTTCTTCTAAGAAGCAAATTCTGTATAACAAGAAATTATCATTTTACCGTTTCTCTGTGGAATTTCTATGTTGAAAGTTTGCTTGTAAGGTTGTTGTTTATTCGTTTGCTGCATATCCCAAAAATAGATTATAAGGACGCATAATCATAAACTTCTCAAGGAGGGATAAAATCATCTCAAATTTTACATCATTAAACAAAACATACAAAAACCATGGCTAACATCCTTTCCTTGCCTCCATCCCCAAGTGTGACTTGGAAAGGAAAGGAAAGGAAAATAGGATTGCATCCTCCAGAACCTAGAGTCTAGCAGGGAAAGTAAGTTAAAAATCAGAGTAGATGTATTGATACGTTAAACTGTGAATCTTATTCATTCTAATAACCATTTCTGTTAATAACGTGCATTATATTCAGCACAAAATGCACATCTTTCACGGATTGTCCTTTGTTAAAAAGAATTTTACTAATTTCCAGACTAAAAAACTTCTAATAGCTTTACTGCCCTTGAAACAAAGTCCTACAGAATCATTTTTCATCCAGCCCTTACCTAACACTACCTTTTCTTTTCTGAACCATTGTCCCCTTGCTTTAATGCTCTACTCCCAGCAGCCTTAGCTTACCCCTGTCTCAGTTCCTTATGTTATGCCTGCCTCTTCCTCTCCATTTGTGGGTCCCCGGATGTAGTACTGTTGGCTACTTCCTGTTTCTCTGCTTTTGGCTTAAAAGGCACAACTGGAAGAGGCTCCTGGAGTCCATCGCTAGCATGTGACCTACCCTGGTATGAGTATGTGTTTGATGATATTATTAGGCAGTATTTCCTGACTTAGGCTTATTTCTGTCTCCTCCTCCTTAAGTGGCATTCGGTTAAAACAGTGACCTCATCTATCTTGTTCACTAATGTATTTCCAGTACTAAAAATAGAATCTGGAACAGATGAATAAATATGTGAACATTTAAATAAACTAAAAATCAAATTATAGAAACTATTACCTAAACTAGAAAGGTGTACAAAGGCAGAGAGTTATCTAAAGTGAAATCTATTGACATTTTTTAGCAATAGTTCTGAGAGTAAAGTACAAAAACATCTGAATACATCTCCCAATTCTTCTGGTTTCTCTACATTGTTGTGTGTGTGATCCTGTGTCATGAACAATAAATGAAAACTTTGCTTCCTCTCATTTCCTGTAATGAGCTCGCCCATATGGTTCAGTCTAAATTTTCCTGGAAAAGAATAGTTTTCTCATGACTTCAGCTTTAAGAGTGTTTCAGATCAGCAGAACACAAAAGAACAAGCCCTGATGAAGAATACAGGTTAAACTAAACATCCTCTTCAAAACCCTAAGAATTTAAAAGTTCAATGTAGTCTAAGAGAATCATGTGAATGTTGCTATAAATGTGAATTCACCACTATGGCTGCTTTGTGCTTTGTGTTTTTCATATTATTACCATTAAATATATTATAGTTCACGGGTGAAGATGTAACTCATTGTACAGAGCACTTGCCTAGCACGAATGAGGTCCTGGGTATGATCTCAGCGACACACACACACACACACACACACACAGTTTTAGCTTGTGTCTTACTCTATAGAAAATAAGCTGCTTTTTGGAAAAGGTTATTAATTATGTAGCCATTGTAGTAGTCCAACATCTAGAACATGAATCAAAATCACTTAAGTAATGTTGAATGTATGAATGAATATGTTCATTCTATAAAATAGCTGTGTTATATACCCTACAACCCGCTACTTACACTTAATTACATGAATACATATTTCAAATGCATAAAAATACAAGTCTCGTTACTTTTTTATGATTAATATTTTCCTGACCAAATAAGAAAAAGGCAAAGGGAGAAAAAGAACCATGAAAATAAATCAAATTATCTCGTTACAAATCTGTTTTCCTTTGCATAATACTGGCAATAAGGAAAGTGTTGAATTTCTGCCCAAAGGGACCAAAAAGAGTGAGTTTAATTTTTTTCCTGAGAAGAAAGAGCTTGCATTTTAGATATTAGAACGTCATTTTTTAATTACTCTACTCATGAAAACAATGAATACATGATCCTTCCTGAAATTACCTCTAGGACAGAAAAATAAAATGTAGCACGTTTTCTGCTATGAATCAAAGTTTTAAAAATTTTCTTCTGTGGAATCATCTTTTCAAGGTCAAATTTTTACATTTGGAAATCCTCTTCCTCTCTCCCCTCAACATTCATAATTGCTCCTTGCTTTATCTGAGGAAACTGAGAAATCCCACCAGAAGGGAGTTTCTATGACTGTTACGTCCATTTCCTAAGAAACAGATGCATGATGGAAAGACCATGACCCTGAACATTTCAATCTCGCTTTAGAGCTATCCCCCCACCAGTATTTTTCTTCTAACTCTGCATCTAAGGTTCCACAATTTTATCCCAAGTGTTCCTAATCATGATGAAATCTTTCTCTAGAGACCGCCCCGAGATTTTAAAAAAATAGAGTATTGCAAAAATAAGCTTCCTGAGAGAGGCCTAAGTTTGCTTGGCTTTGCTGTGGTTTTAGTTTTTGGAATCAAACCCCTATTCTGTCTCCTGAGGCGTGTTTACAAAGAGGTGTGGACAGGCCAAGGAATGATATAAACATCTCTAGGAATAATAGGATATATATAGGGGAAAGAAAAAACCCTTTCCTGTATCCTCTTACTATAACCTCACTATAAGAGGCTACAGTGCCAGCCAGGGTCAAGTTTTGAACACAAATTCCTTTGTCGTGACGTAAAGCATTGCAGATGAAGAGGGCAGTCATACTTGACCAGTTCTTCTTCAGCAGGCATCTGAGAGGGAAACTTTCATACTCCGTCATCCTAAGGCCTACCAGAAATGAAGCAGACATTCCCACATGTGTAATGTCTACAAGCGTCCCTCCGAAATGCAAAGGGTCTTAAAAGCTGGAAAAGAAATACAGAATTTCAGTAATTTGCACAAAGCCATGTTGCAGACTTGTGGCAAGGCTAGGATTAAACTGTCATGCTTGACCCTACATTTTATGTTTCCCTGTGAACCAGGAATCAGAGGGAAATGGGGCCGGAAGTCCTGCTAATGCACATGAGGTTTCACACTTACTTCTCTTACACTTTTAGATCACTGTGTTTTTTACATCTTCCAAGATGGTACATGGCTAGCCCCTATCTGGGGTTTGGATACATTTTTAAAATTACTTTTTTTTCCTTTCAGCACCTTCTTTTTGTTCCTTTAATTTTTAGTTCACAGAATCTTCTCCAGTTCAGTGGATGGAGAGTGCTCATTGTTTTCAAAAAATGTCGATCTATATGCATATATTTCACATATTTGCTGTTTTCTCTTTCTCTAAACATAAATCAATTATTCTCCTTCTTATTTAAAAAAAAATTTGTATCTAAGCCTGTATGAGCTATTTCCTGAATATCACTGAGTTTTTAATACACAGCAACTAAATATTTAATTATATTTAAGTCAGTCAATTTCATATCCCAAGCAATGGCTCTCCCGTACTGAAATATTCAAAAACAATATTAATGAAGATGGCAAATTTTCTTGAATCGCTGAGATACTTTCCCTAGATGGATTATCTTGTGTATTTTCACGAAAATCTTATGGGTAAAGATTGGTATCCCATTTTACAGCCGGGAAACAGACCTACAAGGGACACACAGCTACTGCCAGAAACTGTTACCAAATGTGCTGTATATACTGTTGTATTTCAGTGGACGCTCTCAAAAATTACTCAAGAGGGCAACTCTTTTTAACCTTTACCTGGATTGGATTGGATTATGGAGGAGTTACTTAATTTACCTAGGTTTGCTCTGTTACTAACTATTAGAGCCTGTAATGCTACTGAGCTAAACATTTTAAATCATTGTATAATCTTCCTAATGAATCTCACATTAATATTTGACCTTACATAGTAGGGCAATATGGAATTATATAAAGTCCCCATTGTTTTAGCAGTCCGAGCTATTCATTTCCATCTTGCAAGGTATCTTAGTTACAATCACCCTAAAGCAGGAATTTCGCAAATGCCAGTCGGGTGAAATTTCTCAAGTATAAGTTTAATCATGGCTCTTGTTTAAGGGGAATAAGACCTAGGCATTACTAGTCAAAATTCCTTATCGTCCTCTAGCTGGCTCTTCTTCCTACTTTTTTAGTGTCCTTGACCCAAATCCTTCTCTTCGCTTTGAGTACTACCATCCTCAGCCACCGTTTTCACTGCCTCCTCATTACATTTTGCTGATGATTCTCAAAATTATTGTATCTCGGTCTAACAATCTAATCCAAAATTACAGCCTCCACTTTTCCCTCTGAACTCATCTTTCTTAATTTTACTCCTTAATACATTGTATCTCTGACGTGAGCAGCGAGCTGTTTCTTATCTCTCTGGTGTTACTTCTGAACTAAGGTCCTTACCAGGAGTCATCCATCCAGTCCCCATCTTGAGCTGCCTGGAAAATCTGGATTTAGCCTTAAGGATCCAAAGCACCTGTCTGCTTTAGGAATACTCAAAAACAAGCAGCAGGTAACTTCTCTTTCGTTTGTGGCTTCTTGGCCTCCAACATGTATTTTGAAGCACTTAATGGCATTTTATTCTGTCTATTGATGCGAATTATTTCCTCCACTTTTCCTGAGTCCCTCATAAGCAAGGGCTCCCCAGTCCCTACTATAATGCCTTCTCTTTCATGGGCATGCTTTTGGGTTTGTTGAACAAATGAGATGGGATTTATTTCATGCATCTGCACAGAAGGATTTATACTGGAGTTGTGGAAAGGAGGTTAAAAACCTGAGGGGAAAGCAAAGTAGCTTGCATATCCTTTTGATGGGATAATGTTCAGTCTTCAGCAGGAATCACTACCTGACTTCTATTCCCTCTCTCCTCTCTGTGTGAGTCTGTCTGTCTGTCTCTGTCTCTGTCTCTCTCTTTCTCTGTTCTGAGTCAATGAAGTTCTCTTTCTTTCTGTGCTTCTTTTCAATCTACAACTTAATTAGAATCTCTCCTAACTTAAAAAATAATTTTCAAAAACCCTCACAATTTTATAATACCTCAGCAATAACATTTGATATCTTCTAGAAAAGAAGAGATGGGGCCAAGATTTAGCTCAGTGGCACCGTGCCTGCCTGGCAAGCACAAGGTCCTGAGTTTGAGTCCTGGTACCAAAAAGAAAAAAGAAAACAGGAGAAATAATGGACAATATATTGTGCTCCTGATTGCTAAACAATAAACTGTGTGTAGTATTCTTTTACTTAAACTCTCTTTGGTATTTGTTATTTTTTAAAGTGGACTAGTTATTGCTAATGGGTTTTTTTCCATTATTTTTGAATTTTTGGTCTCTTGACTTCCTAGATGCCTCCCCCCCGGTATCAGGAATCAAACTCAGGACCCTGGGCTTGCCAGGGAGACACGGCACCACTGAGCTACATCCTCAGCCCCTTAGATGTCTTTCTCCCCAGATTTCTACTTCCATCCCTGACTGTAGCTCATTCCTTTTAGTTCTTAATGTGTTATCTTGTTTTTCTTATCTGCTAGTTGTTGATATTCTCCAAGACTCCTCCATCATCTGTCTGTCTGCCCCCACTTGTGTGTGTCTGTGTGTGTGTGTGTGTGTGTGTGTGTGTGTCTGTCTGTCTGTCTATCTGTCTGTCTCTCTTTCTCTGTCATTTCTTCCTTTCTCTCTGATGGTGCTGAGGATTGACAGCACAGGGCTTGTCCACTTGTCACTGGGCAACTGGTCTACCACTGAGGTACATCCCCAGAATTTTTACTCCAAACCCACGTTGTTCACATGCAAATGTGTGTTGACAGTTTCAAATGTGTGTCTCTCCTCCTAGCAACACCTCAAACTCAAGCTGCATCCATCACTGGCCCTACCGCTTCTGTGGTTTCTGAGTCAGGACAGCACCATCCCCTGAACAGTTGACTGAATCTAGTCAGCCTGAATTAACTCTCTCCTTGTCCTCTGTAATGACATCAGTTCTTGAAGGTCTTTCTCCAGAACATCTCTCATGTCTGATTCGTCTTCGTTCTCAGTGCACAGCCTCAGCTCTTCTTTGCACACCCAAGGCAAAACCTGCTGTCAGCTTGTTCAGTCCCACACTTCTGCAGCCCAACCTCCTTTTCCAAGCCTAGACGGTCTCTCAACAACATACATTGTGCTTCTTCCTGTTTAAGTCCTTCATTAATCTCACTTTAATTACTGAATAGAACTAATTATATCATTATAGTCTAAACACCCCTCTGTAACTTTCAGACTTGCCCCTCATGAAGCCTCCCTTCAACTGACCTCAGCCATACGTACTATGTACTGAAAACACAGCTGTTTAAAACCTCCCTGGCTTTCTTTCCTCTCCTGTGTCTCTTGCCCTGTGCTGTCCCCAAGCCCAAGCACCCCATGCCTCATTCCATGTCATGGGGAATATCCTAAGATCAACCTAGAGCAGTGCTTGCCATCTCTCAAATCTGCCCTGAGGTCCCCCAACCCTTGCTGGATAGAATGACCAAACTCATTTGAACCTGTCATGAGCTTTCACCTCAGCACACTAGTGTACTGATCACTTCCTTGGGAGTAGTATTTGACTTCAAAATCCTCACAAACTGGGGTTCTATTATACCTGACATTCTATGTTCAATGCTTAGTGCTATGCACCCCAAAAAACATGGCTGAGAATTTCTTTCATTTTTACTTTCTCTCTTCTCAGTTGTTCTGCACTTTTAACACACAGTTAGTTGCTTACTGAGAAAATAAAAACCTGGAAAATAAATGTATGTGTGTTTTACTTTTATTAATCCTAAAAACAAAAAGTACCCACTCATGATTTCACTACAGCATTAGTTGGAATCTACATTGCTGAAACATTCTCTGTGATTATTGCTGTTGTTTTTAACAGCAAAGGGTATCAGATCTATTTTCCTAAGAAATAATTAGAATTTTATAGTAACACGCCTTTAAATATTTGCATGATCACAAGAAGACGAAAACAAGGCATGCTACATACAAGCCAAGGTCGCCATTTCCAGATGTTCTTGGTAACCTACATTCCTACTCTTCTGTTTCCATTTCTTACAGGAGCTGCCAGATGTGGCCTTTAGAGTTTTATCTTGCTTCCCTTCCCTCCCCACCCTCCAACCTTAGCAGAATTTATCTGTACACTCTGTTCCTGCTTCTGTGGATCACTAACCTTTGGGAGAACTCCTGACTCCAGTCAAAGCTGAGAAATGAAGTTCTACAAAAACTACTCAAAACAACAGCCTTGAGGATTGATTCTTCCTAAGATTTGTTGGAGGGAAGCATTTCATTTCCTATTACACACATCCTGTGGCTGCAGAAACTGACCTTCCACCTACTGCCACTTAGCTTCAGGTCAAGGAGTCTGGAAATCCCCAGTGGCCCCTGCCAGTTTATTGGTTAGTTCAGTTGAAAAACAAAAATCAGGACGAGTGGGTCTCAGGTGGAAGGTCATTTATGAATAAAGAGTGATGCAAAAGTTTAGTGAGGGAAAGGAAAAAAAATCCTATTATTTGATAAAGGAGAAGGGAGAGACAACAGTGAAAGGGATGTGTCCTGAAAATACAGTCATTCAGTGGGTATCTCTCTGATGCAGATGGACACAAACATGTTAAACACAGCAGTAGAATTCTCAAGGAGTGGAATGCTGAGAGGGATCTCAAATTTGCAGGGTATCTGACATACCACATCTCTTGCATCATCCATCACTCTTTGTACTTGTAACTGCTTGATGTAACTATTTAAAATTAGTTTAGGGAGTATGAATAAACATGCAGAAAGTGATTCAGCAAAGTCGAGCAGGTAATGGGTGTTAAAGACATGTCTGCCATCACTAAGGTTTTAGAAATTAAGAACCTGAGATCCTGGAGTACTTGAGTAATGTGTCCAAGATAAATAAGTGCTGCACCTGTATCAGAACCTAGAACCTAGCACTCAGTGCACTTAGAAATCTCCCTCTGAAAGCCATGAGTTCAAAACTAGCAGAGATAGTTTTATTGATTTGAATTTACAAATCACAAGTGGTTAAAAAAAACAAAAAACACTTGATTTGGTCTTCATGGGAATGGGGAAAAAGGAAGGGATGTTGCTTTAATATAGGTACAATTTCACCTGTGAATGTTCTGCCTACTTGGAAAGGCTACACAGCAACTCAACCACAGCCGTAAACCTCTACGCTAGCAATAGAATTCCAGAAAAGCAAACACCCGTGCCTGCTGAGTTCGCATTTCCAGACTTTCATACCAGTGTATGTGGCACCTACGCTACAGAAAGAGCACAGATACCCATGGCTGCAAACCGCTCTCTCTTCCCTGCACTTTCCGTTCCATCCATTCCTAGGAGAGGTCCCTTATTTCCCTCTATCTTAGCCAAAGGCTGAGAAGGATAGAGGTGCCTGTCTCATATCTCTCCAGGGCTGTCATCGCCTGGGGCTCAGGAGTCAAGAGTACCTGCACGCCTGGGCTCTGGCTGCCAGGTGGTGGTAGAGGCTCGAGAATGCAGGCTCATGGTGGTGTCCTCGTCATCATCCAGCATGTCCCGCATGTCCCTCGTGCTGCTGTACTTGGCCTGCATTCTGGCTCCCGGCGGAGCTGAGGGGAAGTGTGATCAGATGGCTGCAAGCTGCCTGGCTACCAGGGGGTCGCTCAGGAAGCCAGGCACCGAAAGGCATTCCTCATGTCCTCTCCGGACAGGCAGCACGGGAAGCCTCTGCCTGCAGTTCCTGCCTGGAGAGCCCCAGCCCCTCCCCTGTAAGCCTGTACTCTGAACGCCAAGTTGTTCAGGCTGAGAGGAAATAGCATCCGTTTTCTGTGTGGGCAGACTCTGACAGTTATTAAAACGGTTGCCCTTCTCAGATTCTTTTTGTTTATCTGTTTGCACTTAGGAAACTGCAGTGTAAAGACAGACCTTGCCACAGCACTCTGGGTTCTTCAGACACTAAGGAATGAAAAGCCCACAGTGGGGCACGCATTACCCAGTTTCTCACCTGTCATACTCTCACTTAGACGAAGTTTGACCACCTGTGACTCTTCCTGTGGCTCAGTGCAAAATGCAAACCCTCACACACCAGGAAAGTCAGCACAAGGGAACCCTTCTGAGAGCATCTGATCACTTCAGCTCTTTTACTTTACCCAGAAGGAAACCAAAGCCCATCTAGGTGGCGTGATTGTTTAAAGTCCCAGAGCTGGTTACTAAAAGAATTAGCTTTAAAAATGCTCTCCTGCTGCCAACTTTCTCCTTATGGTTGGACTTGATGGAACATTTTGTTGTACGTAAGGTATATCGTGATCGTGAGGAGGTACACATTTCATTGCGGATCAGAATTTTTAGGGCTACTGCTAATCATCCCATGGCTTTGAAAAACTAATTAACAATTTGTGCCTAAATTTCGTCAGCTGAAGAAGGAAATGAGAAGACTGACACAGACTGACATAGTCTGTGTGCCATTCAACAGCAGAGTCCCCAAGACGGGGAAGTTCATACACAATACAAAATTATTTCTCAGAGCTCTGGAGGCTGGGAGGTCCAAGATCGAAGCTCTGACAGGTGTAGCTGTCTGTTAAGGACTGCATCCTCTAGAGAGCAGAGCACTGTGACATCACACGGCACTGGTGGTGTATTCCAGATTAAAAAACAAAACAAAACAAAAAAACCTAAGGAGAACTTATTCTTGAATAGCAACTTAAGAAAAAGTCAAAAGTCAAAATGTAAACTTGTCTGTTGGATTGAACATATTAGAGAACACTATAAAAGAGAAGGCAGTAAGAATTTTAAAATTTTTGGGGGTACCAGGAATCAAACTTAGGACCTTGCACTTGCCACGTAGGCATGGCACTGCTGAGCTAAATCCTCAGCCCCCAAGGCAGTAAGAATTTTGAAGGTGAGAGGGAAATATTAAAAGAAAGATAAAAAATTAAAAATTATGACAGCTGGGGCAGGAGAAAAAGTGCATTCAAGAAGTGCCTGTAAGTAAGGTCCCAATGAAACAGCAGTTAGAGACACTGCATTTCCCAAGCTTTGGTTATTCAAGGAGACTTTGATAATTTTTTATAAACAATTTACATTAGCATTTATATTGCTTTTCCTTAGACACTTTTCTTGCAACATGAACAAAAATATTGTATGAACACCTAGTGTAGTTATGGCAGATTTTTTAAAGACCAAGTGACAAACTGCAGCCCCAAACCCACTTACTTATCACAATGCGCCAACACCGCGATTAACCTGAATACTGAGGTTTGACTTTAGAAGAAAACACCTCCACATTAACATCTTCGTCTTGAAAGAAAAGCACAAAACAAGCATGCCATAGGCTCACCGCCACTGATCTTCTGTTTCCTAGGGTCTTGGAATCTGTTCTCAGACTCTTGGATTCGCCAGCATGAAGTAAAACTGTTCTTGTAGAGTCTTTGTCCATGGTCCCAGAAAAATAACAAAATAAGTTAATAAATAGTAGAGTGCAGTAGACTACAGTAAGTCATGGTAAATATAGAGAGGGAAAAGGAGATTAAGAATATTGGGAAAGCACGGTTGGCATTTTTAAATAGAGCAATCAGAGTAAGTCTCACTAAAATGGTGTTTATGCTGAATCTCAGAAGAGGTGAGACAGGAAGCTCAGCTGCCAGCTTGGTGCGAATCACTCAGGAAGATGCAGCAAGCTCCTTCCCTTTGTGTTGTTCCGGGGCAACAAAGAACAGGACAGAACCCAGCATGCAGTGGGGAATGGGATTCACTGTGGTATTGGGTTCTTTATTAGGAAGAACAGAGAAAAGTCCTCGATAGACAAGGGGGGCAAGAAGGATGTCCAGGAAGCCCCTGAATCTCTAAGCTAAACAGAAGGCACGCAAGGGGCACAGGGGCAGAGGACATGGAGAGTGCAGGTTTGAGGCTTTGTTGCCAAGCTTCCCAATGCCAGCAGATTTCATCTTTTTTTTTTTTTTTTTTTTTTTTTTTTTTTTTT